ACGTGTATCAATTTTATCGCATCAAATATATAACATATTAACTTGTCGCATCACATGAATGCGATCACACCTTTTATCGCATCATACTTGTATTACATCAACTTGTTGCATCATTCAGATGCGATAACCCAAATCTTGACGCATCATACTAATGCGATAACTCTCATTTGTCGCATCCAACAAATGCGATAACACTAATTTATCTCATCATTCAGATGCGATAAACTTCACTCGTCGCAACATACAGATGCGATATCAAAATCCCATGATAAAAAGATCATCATATCCAGTATTTGATTATGTCACCCTAATCCTAGTATACTCAGCTCCTGATTATGCCACCCTTATTACAAGGATATACACAGTTCCTGATTTTATTTCACCCTTATTACCAAAAATACTCATCTTCTGATTTTGTCACCCTTGTTACAATCAGATGATATAATCATATCGAAACCCAAAATTTATGCTAATAAATTTTATATAATCATATGAAAGCATCATGTATGAAACCCTACGGTTTCTTCACCCAAAAACACATCAAATGATGTTTTCGAAGTAAAACTCACATTGGATTCCAGTGAGAAGCGTAAGAATCATGAGTAAAACTCATATTTTTCAAAACACACCCCTTAACTTTCAAATCATTTTAAAAGCAACTCTAAAACTTTATTTAATAAAAACCCGGTTATCCCATAAAGAATCTCTACCATTGGATACACATTAGGATGAGATGCACCGAGATGCAAATGATCAATCCCCATATCAAACATGTTTCGTGGGTGAGTTTGTGATTAATGGTTATCAAAGGTCCAGATACCTTCTTAAGTTTCTCACCGTAACTTTTTCTTCTCACACAATTTTTTGCCTATACAAGGTTGGGTTCTAGTGAGAAGCGTAAGAATAGATATTCATCATTGAATCAGTCATAATTGAATGTCAACATTAATAAGTTGCATTGAGATGCATCAGATCAATTTCTTTCTAAAGTGCAATTCATGGGTGAGCATAAGATTAAAAATGATCAAGGGTAGTGAAGGGGAGCGGACAGCGAGTTGGAGGACGCTGCAGAACCGCGTGAAGGCAGCGATTCGGTTGGTTTGCTATTGATATAGATTAAAGACCGAACCTTTCTGCGAAAGCGTTACGGAAATGATCTACCTTTCTAATTTTCAGAACTCTTCTCACGCTTCTCATCATAACTTTTCCTCTCACACGATCCTTCACCTACATATACATTGGCTTAATCATTTGAGAACTCCAAAAGTTATGAGATCCGTGAGAACTTCTATCTTAAGGTTTTGTTTCACATGATTTTTTTGTATTTAAGTATAGCATTTAATACATTGTTTAACATATATTTGTTTCACAACATGTTTGATTCATACGTATTCGGTTCACAATGAAAAACTTTTTACGTGTAGTATTTGTTTCAACAAACATGTAAAAAAAGGTTCACATTTGAACCGGACACATATGAAACAAATACATTGTGAAACAAATATATGTTAATCAATACATTAAATTATGAAAAAGTGAGAACACTTCTGGGCCTCAATTAATTAATACATAATATAAATTAGAATAAATGAAAATAAGTTGCTATGTATCCATAATTTTCTGTTATCCTAGATTTATCTTTATCCCTTAGATTTTGTTATTATTATCAGAGACTGTGTATGTCATGCGTCCATGGTCGATACTGGTGTGATAATAATTTGATTTTGCCGTGATAACAATATGATAATTATTTGATAAATTGAAGACTTTATGATATGATTTGATGTGATAATCTTCTAATAATTATGTGATTTTTGTTGTAATAGCGATGTGAAAATCGAAAACCAACGATGATCACATTTACATTCGTTGTTCTGTTTGTTCATTATGTGATTTTGTTGTGATAATATTTTAATAATTATTGGATACCGGTTAACATATTATCTGTATGTGATTTTAGAGATTAATATGTCAGCAAAATTACAGATAAATACGAAATCACATGATTATAATTAAAAACTTTATTTTCTTTTAATATTACTTGTGAATTAAATAATTTGAAGGCCTGTAAAATATTCTTGCATTCTCATAAAACAGGGGCGTTCTCGTTTGAACCTCCACCTATGAACTTCATTAGTGTGTGTGTGTGTGTATATATCATTAAATTATTCAATACAGCTCATAAACGATAATATCAGATAATATCACTAACGATAAATCCGTGTGGGCCTGGATGGAATTGCCGGTAATAAACTGCTTGCACAAATATCAGATAAATATTTAATTTTAATGATCTATTATTAAAAAAAGGAAGGTTTTAAAAGGGCAGATAGCATGTGCGGTTGTTAACAAAAACCGATTTTCAAAATAGAAAAACACGTATACGACTTTTAGAATAGACCTGTCATAATTTTCATGCGCCTTTTTTAGTACATAATGTTTAGCTTTCCGTGCGTTTTCTTGTGATTATTTTTTGTCGTGTAGCTTTTACAACTCATGATCATTTTTGTTATATTTCGATCGTTTTGCACAATAAATACATATACAAATTTCGAAAAACAAAATAGTTATTTTTTTCTGTCTTTTCGACAAAATTATAAATACGTTTATCGATGAGTTCTTTTGGAGCTTAAATGTTTTTCGTTTCTTTCGGTCTTTTGCTTGGCGTAGTCAAAAGTTGTTTCTTCGACTGTTGAAGTGTTATAGAAGCATGTTCCAAACCAGTGATGTCCTTCGACGATATCGTCAAGAACAGGTGTTTTAAATCTGAGTATGCACTATCATCACAGTATATATTTTCTATACATATTTACGATTATATGTTTTTACCTCAATAAACCTTTTAGAGTATGCACGTTATCCACGACGTAACTCTGTACTGCTCAGAAGTTATATATCTTTTTGGGAAACTCAAGAATACGTAAAATTTTCGTGATTTTAGTAATTTAATCGAGGTGCAAAAAGCATCTGATTAAGCATGTATTTCCAAAAACATATATGAATGTTAGAAAATGTTACAGATAAGTTGTTAACAGTAGAATATTTAAACTTTCGTAATATATCAGATGCTGCGAAAATGAAAATGGACCAAAACGAAATCGATATTTGAGATTCAGAACGCTCGTAAATTTTGAGAATACGAGAGAGAAACGACATCGAACAAAAGGGTTCGAGTTTGTGGACGTGGTTTCGCCAAAGGTCATATCTAGTACAACACCTCAAATTGATGGTTACTTGTTAGAAACGTACAATGAGTTGATTGTTCAGAGTTCCGTTACGATAACACTGGTCCTAAGACCAATTATTTGGAACCACTACCTCCTGTGACGACGTTGATGGTCGATAGCGGTTGAATATCCTATTATGTATTATTCAGTTCAATTTAAAAGTCAAACGTTACAAAATACAACCGATCTTTCGTTTCTAATCCAGAGGTTGAGACACGAGCTTAGGCTGATTAGTTATTGGGCAGAGGTTGTAATTAATGACCACAAATCATGTTTTGAAAACGGTCTTTGAAACTCAAACTGGACGATTTGGAGTGGTTCATGTAACTTTGTTGCTTCCATGTGTCTCGAGATCATTTTCAAGACACTGATTCATTAAACGTTACTGCTTTTGGATAACTCTCGTTTTAGATCAGCAAATGAACGTTTTTAATATGGCTGAGAATAAGAGATGATTATTTACAGATTTGAACCAAAAACAAACTATGGACCCAATTATCCAATGGGCTTAACATAATTATGCCACTTTCTTTTTTGTTGGCTTAATTAGTTACCTAAATAGTATGGAATTATGTGATGTACAAATTTATTTGATATTTTAAAATTACAAAATATTCATTGTTTTATTTGCAAGCAACCTCAAGACTCCATAAGAAGTGTTATACCCATTAATGCACACCATCATTTGGCTTTAAAATGTCATTTTATTATGTATGGAGAGCATGTTTCAAATATAATGTTTTATTTGTATAATTGATGGTTAAGATGAGGTTGTATTGGTTGTACAAATGAAATAGATTGTAAAATAAAGCATATATATATATATATATATATACACACACACACACAAGGTGGGTTGGGTTCCGATGAGAAGAAAAGTTTAAGCGAGAAGCGTAAGAAATAATCTTCACCATTGGATACACATTAGGATGGGATGCAGCGTGATGCAAATAATCAATTCTCGTATCAAGCATGTTTCATGGGTGAGTTGGAGATTAAAGGTGAACAAGGATCCAGATCCCTTTTTATGTTTCATCTCACATGATTCTTTGTCTATACAAGGTCGGGTTCCGTGAGAAGGGAAGTTACGGTGAGAAGCGTAAGATGAGATTTTCATCATTGGATCAGTCATAATTGAATATCAACATTAATGAGGTGCATCGAGATGCATCAGATCAATTTCATGGGTGGACATGAGATTAAAAGTGATCAAGGGTTCAGATCTCTTCTTACGCTTTTCATCATAAACTTCCTTTCTCACACGATCCATCACCTATATATACATGGGCTTAATCATTTGAGAACTCCGAAATTTATAAGATCCGTGAGAACTTCTATCTTGAGGTTTTATTTCACATGATTTTTTGTATTTAATGTATTGATTAACATATATTTGTTTCACAATGTGTTTGTTTCATATGTATTCGGTTCACAATTTAAAACCTTTTTACATTTATTTTTTGTTTCAACAAACATGTCGAAAAGGTTCGCATTTGAACCGAGCACATACAAAACAAATACATTGTGAAACAAATATATGTTGATCAATACACTAGATTCTAGAATAGATGAAAAAAATCATAAAAATAGAACATGATGCATTAATTTTTACACATCTCACCGATTTAGAAATTTCACAAAAAGTACTGATGTGATATAAGCAAATACACAATTACCATCGACAATCCTACTGTAACATAATTTCTTATACATATTTGTATCACATCCGCCAAAATCACTGACACGGGCGGCAACAGATGTACTTGCTATCAACACGATAACTCTATATCAAATCTTCGAATACAAACTATGATATAAGAACATCGTATCCGTCTTAGGGTCAAAGAAAAATGATAAAGATGACCATTCTCATCACGAGTCAATGTGGGATTTCTTCAGAGATCTCAAACAATCCACAATGACTGCTTTTTTTTTTACAAGTACACCATCCTGGAACCAACTGTGTCGGCCCTGCTCCGTAGGGCCCACACAGAACTCTTCACTTGCTTTATGTTCCATGATTCATCTTTGAAGTTTCAAGTGCAAGCATCAACCACCCAACAAAGACACCATAGTTTTGCTTCAAGATTTGCAGCAATTAATCATCCTAGTCATCGTCACCCGAGTCAAATGCAGTTTGACCATGGCCGCCATCTTGAATTCCGTGACATGGGTCCGTGCCACGACCTTCAAAAGATTGACGGTCCTCGAGAAAGCATCCACCTTCTTTAGGCTTGTAGTTCTTACCCCTCCATATAACCACTTGTTCTTTCTCAAATGTTACCAAAATGCATGGTACCAGATCCTACATCAAATATCGAAACAGAAGCAGGTTAATTGAAACTACTCTCTCCGTCCCAAAATAAATGTACATAATGAAAAAGGCAAATAGTTTTAGAAATATGTTTATTACACTTTTTAATTAGCTAAATAACAATTTACCCTCAATAATGGAGGGAGTAAAGAATTTCTCCATTTCATAATTAAGGGTAGAATTGGAATTTGTAAGTGGACACTTGTTTTGGGACGAAGGGGAGTAAATTATGATTTCTGTCCCTGTGGTTTAGAAATTGCAATCTTTGTCCTTATGGTTTGCAATTTTTTTGCTATTTTCGTCTCTGGACTGGTTCTTACCTTAAGTACAAGAGACCGGAACAGTAAATAATTGTAAAGCACATGGAACGAAAAAGAACAATAAATTGTAAATCATAAAGGCGCAAATAGCAATGAATTACAAACCATAGGGACGAAAACTGCAATTTCTAAACCACAGGGACAAAAAATGTAATTTACTCAACATATTATTCAAGCCAGGGCCGGATTTAAGGAGGGAAGGGGTGCTACTGTGCTGTGCCAACGTGGTGGAAAGTTGTTTAGAAGTCTTAACGGTGCATCTGCTTTCGTTTTGTGTGATCCATTAGGGGGTTGTTTGATTGGTTTTCCATTAAGACCTATATGGATAAAGACGTGCATTAATCTATCTGTATAGATTGGAAAGGTTTTTATTTGGGGGAGTTTTTTCATAGATGGAATAAACATGTTTTTTAATTGGGAATGACAGGTTCGGAAAAAACTTTGGCTTCCTGCATAAAGCTTCCCCCAAGTAGCTTACTGAATAAGACATTTCCAATACCATTAAGCCACTACCAACTATCATGGATTGTTGACCGAATAAGCTGTGAGTCCCACTAGGCTTCATTAAGCTGCTAACAAACAGGCCCTCAGTTAACAAAAAGTGGTTGCAGCCTACCGGTAGTGTCTTTGCAAGTAGCATTATTGGTTTCAAGTTCGAACCACTTTCGTTCTCTTTTAATTTTTTGGTAACAGCAGTAAAAAAGAAGGAAAAAACCACTTGGGTGTTGCAAAAAACTACGTTTTTTCAAAAGTATAATACGCATATAACATGTATGTTACTTTTTTTAGAAAGATGCGGAATCTTGGTGTGTAGTTATAGTTAAAAGTAATATCCAACACTTACCCTCAGTTTGCAGCCTATCTTCTTGTAATCTTTCTTTTCCAGACCCCGACAGTCGATTCGCACCAGCTCCTCCACCAGAAAAGCGTCTCTGATCATAGGAACAAGACCACCATAATAACCGTTTTTGGCTGCATTAGCACCTTGTGTCAGAAACCAAAACAAAATATGATGGTAGGGGCATAGAGGCAGGTTTGGTTAGGAACCTAAAACTGATTAGAAACCCGGGAACTGCCACAGAACAAGTGGCATATTCATCAGTAAGACGGACATGTTATTCATCAATGAATGTGTGACTCATGAATGAATAGCATGTCCAAACTCAGGAATGAATAGCATGTCCATATTCATGATGAATAACACCTCCATATTCATCATTAATGTCTTATTCATGATCAATATTCATCCTAAAGAGGCACAAATGGTGCATTGTGGGCGGTTCCCGGGTTCCTAATCAATTTTGGGTTCCTAACGGATCTTCCCTCTAGGGGATATAATCAAATAAAAACCATAAAAGGGTTGAGAACCGTGAGAACTTTTACCTTAAGGTATTGTTTAACATGATTTTTTTCATCTAATGTCAGAATTTAAGGTATTATTTACATATATTTGTTTCACAATTGTGCGACTTTTTTACATATATTTTGTGTTTCACAACACGTAAAAAGGATCACATTGTGAAACAAATACACATACAAGTACATAGTGAAACAAATGTCATATTAATCAATACATAGTAAAACAAATGACGCACCGGTTCTCACGATTTGTAACTTCTTTGTGGTTCTCACGTGATTAGCCCCCTATGATGGTATAAATATAATCAAGTTCTAACAATTGAACAGTGAACAATTACCGAGTTTTGTGAGGGCAGGAACAGCTAACCCTTTCTTCCTCATTTCTTTTGTTTCCTCAATACTTAGACCTTCAATCGTAGTTTTTATCAGTTTTGGGTATACGGGCTCCTGGGGCTTCCATAACATTAACGGAATCACGGGCCTCTTCTTGGGGTTGTAATTTCTGCCTCTATACAATATAAGCGAACCACCGTGTCTATGTATGATCTTCCCAAATGCTTTATCCTGTAACATATATATATATATTATATATAAGTATATATCAGGGTCCCATCATATATATGGATTTTAGAGCTCGCTCTACCCTTCGGAACGGTTTCCATACGGGTTACTAGCTAAATGACCTCTTGACAAGTGCTTTTTAAATCCATAACATTCTGATAGGTTTCTAGACGCTTTTGTGTATGGAAGTGACATTCTTCTGTTAAGCAGTAACATTCTCAAACTAGTCAGAAGGTCATGTATTTAAAAAGAATAACATGTCACTAGGTCATTTTAATCAAATGACCTGTTTCCGTAGATTATTACACACCAAGCCCCCAGGGGCAGACCCACTCTATTGGATACGGTGGCACGGGACACCGCTTTGTTCCTCCGTTATAGTGTAAAAACTTATAGGGTCATGAAAGGTATCGCCGTATCATTTTGTTGTGTGCCACCATATATATTTTTTGAAACTACAATAATTAAGCAAGTTTCACTTGGTAGAGTTGGTTTGCATGACTTTTCTCCTACCCAAGCAGCAGGTTTGAATCCCCGTTTATGTCATTTTTTTAGTTTTAGCTTTTAATTTCAGATTTATTATGTTTCTGAAAAAAAATTGCAATAAAAGACTCGAACACAAGACCTCACATACGAAAAGCAAATAACTAACCAACGAACCAATGATACTTTCATGAAAAATATCCACATCTTTGTTTCTTAGTCAAATGGTGCCACCACTTGAAAACATTTCAAGGTGCGCCTCGTCCCCCCCTAAAAAAACCTACATTTGAGTGAGGTATATTGGGTGTGTTTAGTTTGGTTTATACCACTTCTATTGATGTTCCACATTTGTAAATTAAACTAAACAAACACAGTAAATCCCACTCGAAAGTAAGGTCTGGGGGTGAGATGTAAGCATACCTGACCTCTACACAACAGCGTAGAGTGGTTGTTTCCGTGAAAACGCCCGGCTTGTGCAAGAGTGAAACATGTGGAAGGGATAAAGACTAGCATATGGTGGAAGAAGCAAGGTAAAATCTATTTGGTGTTTCTTTTTGTTTTCTTTTATTTAAATTTGGTTTTATGATCCAAAACTTTTAGCCATCTAAAAGTTGGCATTATTATGAGACGTTGTTAATGTGATCAAAGTTTACAAGTGTATCTACGATGCTAGAAAAATTATACATAAGGAAAGGATCTTACCTCTAACTGTGTGCATACATTTTTCATATCGATTGTAGGTACACCCATACATTTAATCCTAACTGCTTCAGCCTGTTTCCAGTTATTATGAATGTCATTCAACATGTTGTGCGTTAATCCATCCCGTCCTATAAAGCCACACACAAATATACACATGTTAAAACCGAAAAGAAAATTAGAGAAAAGAGAAGGCCATTAGATACCGTAAGAGATTCAGAAAACCACAGCAGCAAAAAGTAGGAAACATCATCATATCAAGTCATTATAAATAGGATTTTGTAGTTCCTCTTCAATCACTTACATATCTTTCAGGATGCGTTTGACAAGTGAAATAGGACATGACAGGATAGAAACTTGTTGTTCCACATTTGGTGCGACATTAGACTGAGACTTTGTGGAAACAAAATGCATTTTCTTTGTCCTCACAAATTCTAAAAGAACAACATTGGTAAATTACTAAACTACCCATATCAAATTAAAACCTGAACCCTACCACGGTTCTTTGACCCGCCTACCTGACTCTCGCCTGTCTAGTCCCATATGCATAAGTATGCATTTGTATGCGGGACAGGATAGAACAAAAACTTGTTGTCCCACGTTTGTTATGATAATTAGACTAAAACTAGACTAATATAGTGGGACAAAATGAATTTTTTTCTGACCCACCAAAATAGGTGGAACAAAAATCCGGAAGATAGGGTAAACTTGATAAATTACTAAAMTAACCATGTCAAATTTAAAACCCTAAAACCTTCCACAATTGTTTCACCCGCATACCTCACTTCGCCTGTACAGTATTCCCCAATAACAACAATTTGTTGTCTCATGTTTGATGAGACAATTAGACTGGGACTGAACATGACTAGAACAAAAAAGCATTTTTTTCAGTCCCACCAAAATTGTTGGAACAAAAATCATGAAGATGGGACAAGCTTGGTAAATTACAAAACCACCCATGTCAAATTAAAACCCTAAAACCTTCAATAGTTCCTTCGCCCGCCTACTTTACACTCTCCCCTCCGGTCTTGTCAAGTCTTGTTCGCGTAGCAAACGCACACTTAAGGCCTATGTAGCCGATTAAATGGCCCTATCAAGCAAGGATTGAACACTATATTTAGCAAACAGGTTGTTGGCTACAATTGTATCATGATGTAATTCTAAGCTATGGAGTTAGCTTATTAGCTTATGTAGTTGGCTAATTTTGGCTAACCATCTAGATGTAATTTTAAGATCCATTGTCTTGCTCTAGCTATCCATGGATACATTCCCATTTGCTTACAAATTTGCATCCTCCAATCCAAAAAACTTGACCTAAATTTGTACATAAAAACATGATACAAATCATCTTCAAAGCAATCATAAAACACCCAATTCTTCAATTGCTTGATTGAATCATAAAAATCTCATTTTGAGTTCATCAATTTGCAATCAGAATAGAAGAATAAGGTCAAAGAATTTACCCAAATTGATCTGCCTCTTGGTTTTGTTCTTCCCAAATCTCTCAACTAACGCAATCCTCTCGGCATTCGTCAACTCCTGGCCTTGAATCCTCTCTCTAATCTTCTTCCTCTTCACTTCCAACTTCTCCGCCTCCTCCTTTCCGGCCATCGGATCCACTGCAGGGGCGCATACACCCGTCCATACACGATCAACTCTCTCCGGCCCAAATGGCGAGTACTTTGGCTCACGGAGACCAATTGGCCTCACCGCAGGACTACTCTCGGTGTAACTAAATCGGAAATCGAAAGGGAGATCGGATTTTACAGGTTTTTGGCCGGACCTGTCTAGAGAAGACGGAGGACGATAGAGAGGCTTCTTTTTCTTCTTGTTGCTGTTATCGGCGTGATGTGTTTGAGTGTTAGGGTTTTTAGGGTTTTCATGAAGTGACGGAGGAGGAGTAAACGAATACTTGGTGTACAGATTTGAGAAACTAGGGGCGGCGGTGGCGGTGGTGGAGAAGAGGCGTCGGCCTGAACTGCGACGGAGGAGTTTGAGCATTTCTTATTCCTACGCAATCGTCGAATAGCCGTGGAAAAAGAACCGGTAAAAGACCGGATTCAGAGACGGTTTTTTAATTGTATTTTTTTTTTCAATTTTAACTAAAAAGATAACAAACAATCGGTAGAGATTAAAGATGTCTAAAAACCGGTTTCGGTCATTGAGTTTTTGTTGATCCAAATTCTCTTAGTGATTCAATGATGATCTTTTATATTTAGTGAAAAATACTTAGTTTTGTTTTTGTTCATTTTCAGCTATCATCACTGAGTCTATTCAATGTTCGTTGAACATGTATTGTAACCTTCTCCAAGAACAAGTATTCTTCAAAGACAAAACTTGCACCAAATGAATCTTCTATGATGTCAAAGATATAGCTGAAGATATAGGCAGCAGCTTGTGATCTGAAACGGATTCAATAATAACAAGTCTGTCTAAACCGAAGTGTGACATCTGACCAAGATTCATCAAACACCGAAGAAACTCTAGAGTTGAATCAATGTCAGCAATCAAATGAATCTTGCTCTACAAGATTAGTTTTTGTTTTATCCTCTTGCACAAAGAGGACAACCTCATACCTCACACAGAAAAAACACATGTATGGAGTTACTTTATTGTCTCAAAACGTGTTTACCTATTTTGTGAAAGACAACTGTTCATATGCAACCAAAAGTCTGCATATCTGAAGACAAAAGATAAGCTCTCCACCAGAAGTTTATTACATGGTTTGTACCATCTGACTTGCATTAAATGCAATAAGTATAAATAGTTGAAAAGACTCTCTTCTTAACAAACACTTCTTCTCATTTTAACACTCTTCTTTCTTCTTCTTATCTTCTGTGCAACCCGTGTGCTTTTAAGATTGTTTAGATAAGTTCTTAATCTTGCCTTCTTCCTCAACAATATGCAAATTCCATATTGATCTTCTTTTATCAATGAACGAACTTAAAAAGTGAAAATCATGTGTTTGTATCCCCCTTCTACAAACTGTTACCTTTAAACTCTTGTTGATCCGTTCGGGACCAACAGTTTCCATGGTTTGTAATAGGTACCTATAATCGATCCCATTTCTTTTTTCAAAAATTAATTTGAACGATATAGATATTGTTCAAAGATTTTTCTTTTGGCAATATTATATTAAAAAACACTTTAAAATTTCTAATTAGGACATTCAAATATACTTTAATAATATTTTTTATATAAAAATATTATGGGTGTTTTTATAATTACGATCTTTGAGATTTAGTACCGGAACACTTATAAAAACTTTAAGAAAATCATAAAAATAACTTGAAAAGCAAAAAAACTTGATTTTTTTGGTTAAAAAACTTAAAAATCTAGTAGAAATATTGAAAAACTTAATATATAATTTATAAAAATTTATTTTTTTAAAAATCAGGTCTATGCATAACCAGTACCGGATCAGACCATGAATTTCTATAAAAATCATAACCAGTTACGAACTGTCAGACCAGTCCCAAGCTCGGTTATACCAAAGCCCATTTGACCATCTCTAGTTGAGATGCAAAAAAAGCCTAGGTTATTTACCTCTTAATGGTTCCATTAAGAGACAACCTCTGAATCATTAAGAGATGAATATTGTTTGGCAAAAAAAAGTCGGCTTCTTAATGGTTCTAATACCCTCTGAATGGTTTTGTATCATGGACCTCCATTAACCATTAAGCGTCCTAATTTAATTGTAAACAATTACCAAACAATTATATTTCATTTTCACTATATTATGAAAGTGTCTTAATCATTTTGATCACTTAATCATTCTGCACCAAACCATTCAGCAACTGTCAAACAACCCCTTAGCCTAGTTCGAAAAAATCCCAAAGCATAGGTGAAAAAAATGAAATAGAGCATCTCGAGTTTATTAAAACACTGCTTGAAGTAGCTTTTTTGAAATTAGTGTATCACTAACTAAATAGGATTTTTCAATAACTTAAGAGTTGTTTGGTTGGTTTTCTATTAATAGTCGTTTATGGATAAAGTTGTCTGTATAGATTGAGAAAACTTCTATTTGGGGAAAGTTTTTCATAAATGGAATGAACATGTTTTTTAGTTGAGAGGGACATTATCGGAAAATTTTGGCTTTTTAAGTAAAGTTCCCCTTAGAATCTTACTGAATAAGACACTTTCTATGTTAATAAGTCACTACCAAACAATTACGTATAGCTGATACAATAAACTACGAGTTTCATTAAGCTTAAGCTGCTAGCAAACAATCCTCTTAAAGTAAACAAAACCCTTTTTGAACATTCAGTGTTCTTCGGGTGATAATTTCGATCATCGGAAATTAGAAATGATGCATGTATCGGATTCGAACCCGAAAAAGGCGTAAATTCTCGAAACTCCCCTCCGCATTATCGAAGCAAATCCGAAATGAAAATCATAAAGATTACGTTTTTTTACTCGTTTGACATTTATCGTTAACTATTTTCAGGGGTTGCGATTAAGATAAAGTGGGTCCCACTTGGATGAACCATTTTACCTTTTCTCCTATTTCATGAAACCATCAGAAACAAGTTGAGCCTGACTTGCATTCGAATACAAGTGTTGTTGGGATCTTGGTTTACAAATCACTCTTTTTCTTGTCTGGATGGATAACGATCTTCAAGCTTCATGTCGATCTCGGTTTCCGTATCCCGTCTTTATTCCATATCCACGAGACCCGTAATTGAATTTTCCGCTCAACATGAGACCTACAAGATGAAAACGTTAGATAGCCTAATCAAGTAGAACCCCGGGATTTAAACCAGACCGGACAGAACATGATAGAGAAGAACAAAAACTCGTGTCAAGTTTGGTACGACATTTAAACTGGGACATCTTAGAACTGAGTGGGACCCACCAAAATAGATGGAACATAACATCAACAAGATTGGTAAATTACTAAACTACCCATATCAAATTAAAAACGTAAAAGTAAAACCTTCCACAATTCTTTTACCAGTCTACCTCACTCTTGCCCAGACAGTCTTGTCTCGTCCCATCCAATTCTATGCATTACGTCAAGTTGATACAATCCCGATTACATCTTTTTCATCCAAACGAACATGACCTGCACGAGTAGAACGGACATGACCTGCTCGAGTAGAACGGATCGTTGTTTCAACATAACAGGAAACCAATAAATCTTGATTGTCACGTTAATTAAAACGGGACCCACGATTAGATTTTTCGTAGTGTAATCTGGACAAAATTGATATTGTTAATGACCTACAAAGATAGGACCTTTCTTTCATAACACAACAGAAGAGCAAGAAATCTTGAAATCTTTCTTTAAGATTGCCTAATGAAAACCCCTACTCAACTAAGAACTATATATGAACATCATGGAAGCTGCTATTTTTCATGCTATCTTCGGTTTTTCGATACTTATAACTCGTTAACATGAATATAACGAGCGTAAACCATCCACGGACGTCGAGATACTCAATGCCGGTTTATTTTTTTCTACTGTTTCTCATCAACGGAGGTCGATTGCTGGGGGTTAACGGAGAAAAGAAGGTATATATATATATATACATGTATTTATGTTCCTATAATTTCATGCTTTATATGTAAACGTGATCGATTAAATCTTACCTGCAGGACTTTTACATCGTCTTCTTGAGCGATCAATTGGTTAACCAGGAATTCAAAACCAGCACACACATCGGGATCCTCTCGGCATTGAAAGGAAGGTAGCAATCCTGCATTCTTCTGTTCCAGTGGCAAAATTGTAAAATGTTAACTTCTAAAGGTTTTTGTATTGTTGGAGTCTTGCATCGGCTAGACACCGACTATCGAACTTGTATATATACAGGAAACTCACCTCTCTCTATAAGGGAGAGATTCAAAAGGGTTCCATGTACTTTAGCATGGTATCAGAGCCGGGTTTAGCACCACCTAGGGACTAGACACACTCTTTCGCCTCTATCATTGGGGGCATGTACCATCTAGCCTCCATTTGGAGGGGGTGTTGGAGTCCCATATCGGCTAGACATAGACCATCATCCTTTTATATATAGAGGGAGGTTCATTGGAAAACCCCAAAAAAATTAAAAACTGTGAAAAATGTGGTAACCATTCATCTAGATGGTATGTACATAATTGAAGTTGTTTCTTGGTTCCTATACACGTGTGCATGTTATGCATATGTGCATACTAGACAAATTACTTGTATGCACGTGCGCATACCGTACAGATGAACCGTTACCACGGTGTTCCTCACTTTTTCATTTTTTGCGGTTTTCCCAAGAACCTGACCCTATATATATAGATAGATATATGAAACTCATGTCTCTGTTATAAGGGATCTTTTAGAGGATTCAAAGTGGTTCCACTTAATTTATCATGATATCAAAGCCGGTCTAGCATCACCTCGGGACTCGACACACTCTTTCGCCTCCGTTCTTGGGCAGGTACTGTCTAGCCTAGCGACCATCAAATTTGTAGGAACCTGCGACCCTCTCTCTATACGGGCTCTTTTCGAGGGAGATTCAAAGGGGTTGCACAATTCTAACTTGTATTGACATTTGTGTAGCGAGTTCGATGCAAAGGAGTCCCATGTGTATAGCTATACGAAAAGCTTTAACGCATTTGCAGCAAAGCTTACGGAATCTGAAGCCAGAGAGTTGTCGGGTATCCCCCCCGCCCCCTATGCAGTTGTGTATAAATGATTTCGGTTGTTATATATATGATGTTTGTGAAGGTATGGATGGTGTGCAATCTGTGATCATGAATCAGTACCGCAAGTTACATACAACACGATCATGGGATTTTATCGGGTTACCTCAAACGGCAAGAAGGAAGAGGTTCGAGAGCAACATTATAGTCGGTGTTATGGACACAGGTTAGCCTAATTCCGCTTTCAGACTTCAGCGCGATCTCTTATCGATAAGAAGTGAAATAAGACGTCTAAATTCAGCTAATGGTGTTTCTTTTCGACTTACTAGGAATAACCCCACAATCAGACAGCTTTAACGATGAAGGATTCAGCCCGCCACCTGCAAAATGGAAAGGATCTTGTCGTCATTTCGCTAACTTTTCCGGATGCAATAAGTACGCAACCGGAATTCATATGTTCATATTAGTTTTCATCTGATTAATGGGTTCATTCTTGAATCTTGATTGAATCTTTTTACGTCAATGTTTTCAAAGCAAACTTATCGGTGCCAAATACTTCAAGCTAGATGGAACTCCCGACCCCAACGACATACTATCACCGATGGACACCGACGGGCACGGCACCCACACGTCATCGACCGCAGCCGGAAGCCTGGTCCCGGATGCAGAACTATTCGGTTTAGCCAAAGGCACAGCCCGTGGGGCTGTACCATCGGCTAGAGTTGCAATGTATAAGGTCTGTTGGGCTAGCTCGGGTTGCTCCGACATGGACTTGTTAGCGGGATTTGATGCCGCCATTCATGATGGAGTCGACGTTATATCAATCTCGATAGGTGGCCTAACAGGTATAAACCAAACCAACCAAGCCCAGTACATCCCACCAGATGTACGAAGAACTGACCTCTACCCAAATAACAGGTAGTTACACTAGGGATACTATATCGGTGGCGTCGTTCCACGCCATGAATAACGGGATTCTCACGGTGGCTTCAGCCGGGAACGACGGACCTCGCTTCAGCAGCATTGCGAACCACGCACCATGGCTTTTGACGGTGGCGGCTAGTGGAATCGATCGACGTTTCCAAAGCAAAGTTGTATTGGGTAACGGGAACATTGTGACGGTAAGTTCTTGTTCGATGGCAAGATTACTACGTTCATTGAGGTTTTCAACGCGAAGCGTTGTGTATGCAGGGAATCGGAATAAATGGTTTCGAACCAAAGCAGAAGTTTTACCCGATCACGAGCGGAAACGACGTGGCCATAAACACTGAAAGCAAAGAAAGTGCAGGGTATTGTTTCTCTTTGCATGCATGAAGTACACAAGTACAAATCACCTGTCCAAATTCTCTGTCCCCGACCTGTCCACCAATAAATTTGTGACACGTCATTACTTTCTTTGAAGAGGGAGAATGAAAAGATGAATTAAATAAAGTAATGATGTGTCAAAAGTTAATTGGTGGGACAGACAATGGACATGGAAATTGGGGACAGGTGATTTGTATCCAAAGTACACATGTTAGTAAAACGCGACTCATATATAGATATATAGCGGTATAATATAGAGGGAGGTTTAGGGGAAAACCCCAAAAAAATGAAAAACTAAGGAACACCCTCATAACAGTTCATATGTACGATTGTGTATAAGTAATTGAAGTTGATTCTTGGTTTCTATGTACATGTGCATACCAAACAAAATGCTTAAAAATTACTTATATACACATGCGCATAGATCCAGATGAAAGGATGAATGTTTACTAGAGTGTTCCCAGTTTTTCATTTTTTTTTTTGCGGTTTTTCCATGAACCTGACCCTATATATATGTATATATGACGACTATTTGTATTGAAGTCTTTGGTTACAAACGGTCATATGACTGAGTCTGTTTAGATTTGAATAAGTATTTTGAATTAGTCCTAGTTGTTCCTATTTCTTAGCTGATAGTTTGCTGTTCTGTTTCCTGTGTAAGCCTATAAAAAGGCAGCTTGATTTATTGAATAAAGTATCACATTTCAGAGTCAAATTGTGCGTATTATCACCTGGTTTTAACAATTTGCAGGTTTTGTATCGAAAACACGTTGGACCCGAGTAAAGTGAAGGGGAAGCTTGTTCAGTGCAATCTAGGGACTTGGGGTTCCGATTCGGTCATCAAAAGACTAGGAGGGATCGGGACTATCATCAAAAGCGAAATGTTTCTAGACACCGCTCAAATTTTCATGGCACCGGCAACCATGGTGAATACCACGATAGGCGAAAGCATAAGCAAATATATACACTCGACTAGGTAAACCACACATCACTACGAGCACCCACAATGGAGCTTTTTGGAGAGCTCTTTCGCCACATAAGATGGTGAAAAAGGTCCCGACAAAAATCCCACTTTTTGCTTGTAACATCACAAGCTCCAAATAAGCTTGTTTTGCTTGGCCACCTGAATTTGTGGGTCCCACTTTTTTCAAAAAAGCTCAAATAAAAAGCTTACCATCGTGGATGCTCTAAGAGGCTAAGGATATGCAATTTTGTACGCTAAGAAATGTTTTCTAAATCGTAGATCACCGTCTGCGGTGATATACAAGTCAGAGGAAGTGAAGGTTTCGGCTCCTTTCATAGCGACGTTTTCATCAAGGGGTCCAAATCCGGGAACAAAACATGTACTAAAGGTATGCTAGAACACGAAACTTCAACACTACATTTACGTACGCGCACTACAACAAAATGGGTCTTTTAGGACATCCAATTGTAATTGGACATCTTAATAGAGTACTTGACGAGACTTTCGTTTTAAGACCAACAACTATGTGTCATATACAATGATGTTACAATAAGTTGTTATGACAAAGTTAGGCGACCTAACAAGTTCTATCGATGAATTTGGACAATCTAATAGAACACAATAAATAAATCGTTGTATATATTAATCTTTTTATATGATACTTTTAAGAAGTGTCTTATTAGGTTTTTAAAAGTGTCCTATAAAAATTGCTAGTAAGACACTTTTCAAAAGCGTCTTGTAAAAAGACTAATACAACGATTTATTTATTGTGTTCTGTTACATTGTCCAAATTCATCGATAGAACTTGTTAGATCGCCTAACTTCGTCATAACAACTCATTCCATTGTATAGGACTCAAAGTTGTCGGTCTTATAAACTTACGTCATATTAAGTACTCTATTAAGTCGTCCAATGATGGCTAGGCGTCCTAAAACCCCCATTTTAGTGGCAATTGACTTAACAAGTCGTTTGTTCTATGGAACAGCCAGATATCGCGGCACCAGGAATCGACATCTTGGCATCATACACCCCTCTACATACACTCACCGGGTTAAAAGGCGATACACAATTCTCAAAATTCACCATCATGTCCGGAACTTCCATGGCATGTCCTCATGTTGCGGGCACAGCTGCATATGTTAAATCTTTCCATCCAAATTGGTCTCCTGCTGCAATAAAATCGGCTATCATGACTTCTGGTAAATTCACACAACTTGAATTAACTGCCCTTATAGAACATCACTACAGCAAAACCGGTTTTATAGGACGCCAAAAATATCTAAGTGTCCCAATAAACTATATTATAAGACTAAACAATAAAGTGTCTTATCTAAAAGTGTTGCAATATATTTATAGGATACTTTTGAGCGTCTTAATAAGCTTTCCGGGACATTTTTTATAATAAAATGTCGTATTAGCTATTTTATAAGAACTATTTGAAGAAACGTCTTATGAAAATGAGTGTCATGTAAAAAGATGTGTTTATACTTTATAGGACACTTCTCAAAAGTGTCCTATAACAATATTATGATGCTTTATTTAAAAAATGTCCTAGAAAACTAGTAAGATACCCAAAAGCGTTCTATGAACTTATTACAAACACTTTTAGATAAAAAGCTTTATTGTTTGGTCCTATAAACTTAAGTTCTATAAAGTGGTATATTATGACACTTGGACATTTTTGTGTCCTATAAATCTGATTTTTTTTTTTTTTGGAAGGGTGTCCAGGGCTATGCCCAGACTAATCCCGGAAAATTGCGACCGTAAGACATCAACCCTCATAAACTCAGTGGCCACAATTGTTGAGGACACCTAGAATTGAACCCAAGGCAAATGGGATATTTCACCACATCCCCATGGGCCTCAACCACTACGCCACAACCCTTATGGTTTATAATTTGATTTTGTTGTAGTGCATTGACATGTTTTTTTGAAGTATATAAGATTTATATACGGCAAATATTCACATACACTCCTCATCTTCGGTGAGTTTGAACCCTTGACCTACTGGGAGGTTGGGCTCTACCAATAACCCATCTACCATCGGGCCAATGACCCTTCCATGACATTGGCATTTTTATAGTAAAGCTTACATTTGACATGGTTTACATGATAAAAGCAAGACCTATGAGCACAAGGGTTAACCACGAAGCTGAGTTCGCGTATGGTGCCGGTCAACTAAACCCAAGACGAGCTGTAAATCCAGGGTTAATCTACGATATGAACAACATGTCCTACATACAATTTCTATGCCATGAGGGATACGATGGATCTTCGATCGCCTCTTTGATTGGTTCCAAATCAAAGATCAATTGCGCTTCATTGCTTCCTCCGCTTGTGAGCGAAGACGCCATTAACTACCCCAGTATGCAACTTACGTTGAAGAGCAATAAAGCGATATCTACCGGGATTTTTCGAAGAACCGTGACTAACGTAGGCCATGCTAAATGTATGTATAATGCCATGATTCGAGCACCTAAAGGAGTGAACATAACAGTGGAACCAATGACACTCTCATTCTCGCATACATTGCAAAGGCGAAGCTTTAAAGTTACGGTGAGTGCAGAATCTAATGCTAGCAGAAAACTGTTGGTTTCGGGATCGTTGATTTGGAGAAGTTGTTGTCATGTTGTCAGGAGTCCGATTGTTGTTTTCAATCCGGATGAGCTCGGGATGGATATAGAGTGAATTATATTGGGTCGGTGTTCATTTCTCGATTGTTTCATGTTCGTTATGAGTATGCCAAAAGCAGCATAAACAACGCTAGTACTTGACTAAGAGTCCAGAGGTCGAGTCCCACCTTCAAATTATGATATAATTCATCCTTAATTAGTACTCCCTCCGTCCCAAAATAAATGTCCACATTGGAAAAGACACTATTTTAGAAATGTGTAATTTTACATTTTTTTAATTAACTAAAATGACAATTTTACCTTTAATAATAGAGGGAGTAATGAATTACTCCATCTCATAAGTAAAGGTAGAATTGAAAAGTTGACACTTTTTTGAGAAGGAGGAAGTAATAGATACAAGACATAAAGATACTATCTAGATGAGTTCATTGATAGTTTATAAAACTGTAACAACCATACAAGGGGGACCACGTATAGCCTACATATACACAAGATATACATATATATAGGTGAAGGTTCAAACAAGAACACTTTTATTTAAGAAAACATAATAACACCCTTATCACATATGATAATACACCTGAGGAGACCTAGTGGTGTACGGGCGACTTGAACTTTAAGTTTTCAATTGAACTTGCCAATATACATATACAGACAGAGGTTCAAACAAGAACAGGGTCAAAACAAGAAAACACAAAAACGACAAGGTCACATGTGATTACGAACATGGTGGAACACAAGGGGTGTGTGGGCCACTTGGCCTCGCGAATCACGTGATTTTTGTGACTTGACCGTCCTCTCATTTTCTTATTTGATCACTGTTCTCATTTGAACTCAATCATATATATATATATATATATATATAGATTGTTTCAAATACAACCTGTCGCATTTGTACAACCATAGGGCATTTGTACAACCATAGGTAGTTTAATAATTCATCAATTTTGTCTGATCTGTAAGTGAAGCTTCCTAAGATCAGGATACGAATAGTGATAGCATCCATGGAAGTTCTTAAGTATATAAAATCAAAATAAATACATCAAATTTCGTGTGAAATAGATCCAAAAACAGATCGAGATATATAATTATATTTGAAATCGGATCAAACTTACAGGATATGATTCCAAGATACAGCTCAAAAACACACTTGCCCTACTTCTTTCACCTTTCCGGCGACGGAGGGACACGACGGCGAAAGGTGAGTTTGTTGGAGTCGGCATCATCAGGAATTACGACTTTCCTTTTACCATTTTTTATCACATTTTTTATTTCTTAAAATTTCTTTTATCTATAATCTATACTATATATTATAAAACATTTTAAAAAAACTCTTAAAAACCATCATAAAGTACTGTTTATTAATGTATATTACTTAAAACTCAAGATTACAAGTAGATTGTGCGTAAATATAACTTATTAAAGCTCTATATCTGAATTTGTCTAACTAACTGCAGATAAACATAATCAAATACAGGATAAACATCTCATTTTAAATATAAAAAATCTAAAATATAATTAGTATAATCATTGAGTTCTAACATAATACTTAATTATTATCTTTATAAAATGTTATATTATTAAACCAAAAATAATTTATTTCGTTATTAAACTTAAATTAAATTATAATAAAAAAATAAATTAAAAAATTACATAAAAAATGAGAACTTTTAAATAGTTGATTTGATATTTACATTGATATATTTTTTTCAAATTTTTATGATATCTTCAAATTTATATTTTATTCAAAAATAAAATCATTATTGTTTTTCTTAAAAACATATAAAATCGTATTATAAAATCGACAGAGACAAATAATAAAATAGAACATTAAAATCGAGATATGTCTCGCTGCATTGCGCGAGTACTCTTTTAGTATATTATAAAGCATTTGACAAAAACTCTTAAAAACTATTTTTTATGCATGAAGTACTGTTTATTGATGCATATTACTTAAAATTCAAGATTACAAGTAATTGTGCGTAAGTACAACTTGTTAAAGTTTCATGTTTGAACTTGTATAACTAACTGCATATAAACATAATCAAATAGAAGATAAATATCTCATTTTAAATATAAAAAATATATAATATAGTTAGAATAATTATTGACTTCTAACAAAATACTTGATCATTATATTTACAAAAAATTATATTATTAAACAAAAAATAAAAAAAATTCAATTAAGGAAACACAAAAAATGAGAAATTTTAAATAGTTAGTTTGGTACTAATGTCAATATTTTTTTTAATTTTTTATGATATTTTCATATATATTTTATTCAAAAATAAAAACATTATCTTTTTCTCAAAACCACATAAAATCATATTATAACATCGATTGAGACCCAAAAAAAAAATTAAACATTAAAATCGAGATATATCTAGCTACATTATGCGAGTACAATTCTAGTAATGAATAATCAATAAAGATTGCTTCATACATGAAAAAAAAAATACTTTTAAGAGTTTTTATCAAATATTTTATAATATAGTATAGATTATTTATCTCTCTCTATGAGTATTTTATTTTCAGAGTTTCTTATTGGTAGTCTCACTTGTTAATCATTTTTTAGGTTATCTCCATATTTAAAGAAAAACCTCTTATTTTTCGTACTTTTTTTATTTTTAAGATAGCATTTTTTTCTATTTTCTTCATTTTTGAGAAATTGTTGGATATGTTTTATCAAAAGTTAAAATCTCTAAACAAAATTACATGCAACTCTAACAGTTACTTTATTTTAGCAATTTTATCATTAACTATATTATTAAAATATTTAATATATTTAATAAAATATTATTTCTCTCTGCTCAAAATTCAATTTCAATGTCTTTTATTGATAAAGAAATTAGTATTATTTCTCTCTCTTAAACATAGAATTTTAAATATTACTCCAAAATTTGAAATTTCTAACCTTCTTTTTCTTCTTTTTTCTATTTTGGCATATCGTGTAGCATAGTTGTTGTAGTAAAAATATACCTTCAAAATCTTTATTTTAACATAGTTGTTGGAGGGTTATCTCCAATAGCTAAATCTTCAAAATCTATATTTTAACATACCATTGGAGATAACCCTCAAACAACCATGCTAAGAGAGAGACTTTACAAATATATATTTGCTCCAACAGCTATATTGTATTGTATGTTAAAATAGAGAAAAGAATGGGTTGTTTGACAGTTGCTGAATGGTTTGGTGCAGAATGATTAAGAGGCTCTCATGATATAGTGCAAAATGAAATATAATTGTTTGGTAATTGTTTACAGTGAAATTAGGGCACTGAATGGTTTAAAGGAGGCTCAAGATACAAAATCATTCAGAGGGTCTTATAACCATTAAGAGACCGACTTTTTTTTGTCAAACAAGATTCACCTCTTAACGATTCAAATGTTGTCTTTTAATGTAACTATTAAAAGGTAAACAAACAACCCCGAAGAGAGAGATTGTAGAAATCTCGAAATTTGGGAAATCTTTAAAACTCCATACTTAGGAGAGAGAAATTATATTTAATTCTTTCTCACCAATAAGAGGCATTGAAATTAATTGTTCAAGAGAGAGAGAAATAATGTTTTGTTAAATGTATTGAATATACTTATGTTTTTCTACAAAAGTCTTTATCAACTTATTATAAGTTAGAATGGTTTAACTTTTTCAAAAACTTCTTATTACCGGGTTGGCACCGGTATAAGTTGTTTATCCAAACATTCAAAAGTGTTTATTACCGGTGTCACACCGGAATAAGTCAATAAATTGTTTTTATAAGCATTCCCAAACACCCCCTAAGAGATGGTTTATCCAAATACTTACCTAGTAAGCACTAAGCGGTTACTGTTAAGATTCAATATTATCATTTACTTTTGTAGGGTATGATTTTAGTGCATCAAAACGGCATCATATGCAACAAACGTTTGTAATGTTTGGTTTGTAGAATTTGCAATTAACTCATATGTCCGGTTATGTAAACCAAACTAACGGAACCTTAAATCAAAAGTAAAAATACATTCAAGAGCGTTTTGACTAAGTAAACACTGCCTACCTCTCAACCGATAATTCGGGTCTTTCATCTTTTGCATAAAGAATTTGAAGAGATGTGATTTACTTTCAGATGTCCAAGTACTTTCAGATGTCCAAGTACTGTATAAATACGTTAACGTGTACAGTTTTTGTTCTTTTATCAAAAGAACGATTACAGTGAAATGCCTCAAGAAGAAACCTATTGTGAAGTACCTCTAACTCTCCTTTTTATATTATTTGCCATATATTTTATACATGTGTCGTTATCGGACTCTGGATATTGTATTGGTCTAAAAGCTTGAGAAATAATGTTGTGTTTTAAACAGTCGATTATGTCTTATGATTTGTTTGAAAGTTCTCGAATGATTTTTGAAAAATACAGCTCGGTGATCTTTGTAACCTCTGTTGATCATATCTCTCAGTGATTTGATGATAATCCATTTTCCCTTTTACGTTGTATTTGTGTTTCTGTATTTTCAGTTTTAGCGATCATCACTGAGTATGTTCAGTGATGGCTGAAGAACTTGCATTGTAAATTCATCAGAGATAGCAATACTTCAAGAAGACAACACTCACACCAAAGAACCTTCAACAAACGTCAAAGACTGAAACTGAAGATTAGAGACTGGCGAGTACATGATCTAAAGCGGTATTCAGTAATTACAAGCCTGACTATATATGTGTGAAGACTGCTCTAGCTTCAGCGAATGATGATGAGACCTTCAGGTCATTCCAGCATTCAGCGATCAAAGGAAGCTTGCTTAGCACGATTGTTGTTGTCTTGTCCTTATGCACACAAAGGACAAACTCATACCCTTGCAAAAGTTAGTACGGTACGGAGCCGATTAGTCGACTATTTGTCCACCAACTTTATGCAAGGATGTCTGCTCAAAATAGTGTTTTTGTACTATTCACTGTAGCAAAGGATAAGCCTTCCGCTTAAGGCTTGACACGCACTCTAAACCTACCATATTGCATTAAATGTTCATTTAATGCACTGGGTATAAATAGAAGTGTTTCTTCTCCATGCAGAGTGTGCGCATCTCTCTGCTATCCTCTTTTTACTTCAAACATCTTATAGCTTAAGTAAAATATTTTTCTTTTAGCAATCTTTTTTCTTGTATTTGCTAAAGATTTGTGTATAACCAAAGATTGTTTAGATAGGTATTCGTTACCTTATCTTTCCGCAAACAGTTTTGTAAAATATGTATTGATCTTCTCTATCAATATATATTTTAAATTTGAAAATATTGTGTTTGTATTCATCCCCCCCTTCTACAAACTGTTTCTATTCTTGTAGACCCTTACGGGACCAACAACCTCCTTCAAATTTGTCCCAATATCAATATTTAACTGATCTCATGGCATGTCCCTTACATATTAGAACATGAAACCGACTTTCTAAAAATCATTAACAGTATAAACAAATTTCACCCATTTCAATATTATTTAGATAAGAAAATTAAACTCGTTTGAATTATTTCAAGAGCCTCGTAATCGTTCAATTTCTTGTTTATTATCAAGTAATCGCTCGATATACAATCGGACAAGATGGTACAGAAGTTTCCTCTTTTCCTGCAAGCGAGCGAGCGAGCAAGTCAGCTATAAGAGAAAATTCTTATGGAACTACGTTTTCGTCAATTGCAGTGGAAGAGGTCAAAGTCATATGATTCAAAAACTGTTTAGAATATGTTGCATTCAATGTCGTATCAAACACTTCAAAATAAAATCTAAAATTGTAATGGTCATAAAAATACAAGTTATATATATATATATATATATATATATATATATATATATATATATATATTCTGTTAACCTAATATCAAGGTTTAAAAAGACGTGAGACGTGACGTGATGGTGAGATCAAGTCTCAAGCCTTACACGTCATGACGAGTACGCGACGTTTTTCAAAATGTGATATAAGGCAGCAAAATTGTATGTCATATATAGAATTATATATAGATATATGTTTTCTATGTATTATTTAATCAAATAATGATATTAAAAAAGTATACATTTATATTTGAAAAAGAAAAATCATATAGATTATCATTATAATAATAGGTTTTTAATTAAATATTTAAAATATAACTTGGAAAGATAATTTTACAACTTTATTTTAACCGTGAATCTGTAACGTTTATGAATTTGTGAAACTATGAGTGATGTGATCAGTTAGACCTATAAAAGTGTAAAATACGAAGTTAAAAATATAGAAACGCAAAATATAAAAAATAAAAAATGTATTTTTTTGGAAAAAGATCACGTATTACAAAAAACGGTGAGACGCTATGACGTGAGCCATGCCTTATAGGATGCTATACGGGTGTTTTTATAACAACAGAGACATGTCTTGCACCATATCATAGCATACTTTATTTATTATTTAATAAATAACATAAATTAATCGATATATATATATATATATATATATATATATATATATATATAAACAACTCAATAAAGATAAATTTATCATTTGATCTGTTATATCATTTAACCACAAGGGTGGTGTCTGATTGATTTGAGTTTAACTCCAAAGGTTAAAAGTACCAGGAGGTCCCATATTCAAATCTAAAGAGTAATAAAAATCCTCTTTTGAACATGGAAGTTCAAATACGGTGACTTCGGATTATCTGCAAAATAGGTGATCGTCCTGGAATTAATCAGTTTGCATAACGGATTAGATATCCAGGTTAATAAAAAAAAGTTTGACTTTTATTTATTTGTTTTTCGGTTTCTTTGAATGAAAACGTTTATCAATTTATACTTAAAAAATTTCCATATTTATATTTCTTGTAGAAACAAAAATGTCATCTTGAAATACGAATCTGGAAGCTGAAATCAGGTTGCCCAAGAATTCAAACTTCTTGAATTTATAGATTTCAGATACATCAATATCAATATCAACATCAACATCATCATCATCGTGCTGAATTTAATACGTTTACCCCCAATTTAGATTTCAAAGATGGTTCCAGGAAACATGTATAGCGAATTCGCTATAATTTCGATTGGTGAATTCTAGACGCCATTATCGCAATTCACCTTCAACTTGATCCTTACCCCCATTTTCGGTTTCTTTTCCCATTTCTATAATCGAATCAAATTTCACTTACGGGATCATCTGGTTTCAAGAAATTTGAAGGTAATTCTCTGATTATGTTCGTGTTCTTCGTTTGAGTTTGATTTTTTTTTTTGTAATAGTTTAGGGTTTGTTAGATCTAATTGTAGAAATCCCAATTAAAAACCCTAAGTTTAATTGAACCTCTTGGGTTGTTTTGAAGATTGGTTTGATTGAAGATCAAGAATTGTGATTCTTCCCTAATTCAAAGTTGAAGAACTCTCTCTCTCTGTTTGTATATATATATACATATACATATATCTCTATATATATAATAGTGTTGTTTGAATGGAGAATAATTATAATCAATCATCTCAATATAATCCTTACCCATATGGTTACCATCCCAATTCAGCTCCATATCCACCACCTTCAAATTATCCACAATACCCACCTCCAAATTCAGCTCCTTATCCTCCATATCCCCAACCATATCCATATCAATCACCACCACCACCACCGGCCCCGCCAGGAGGACCACCGCCACAGCCACATCCCGTCCAGTCGGAGTACTGGTACCCTCCTCCACAACCCTATCCCGCTTTACCTCTTCCATATCCATATCCTACATATGGGTACCCTCCGCCCCCACCATCTCACTACCACCAAGAAAGTGGTGGGGGCGGTGGCGATGGTGGTGGTGTTAGTGGGAGTAATCCTGCCGCCATTCAGCGCCCTTCGTTATACCCTGGTGAAGAGGATATTTCGTCAAGCAGCTCTAATCCGTACTACCCTCCTATAGATCATCACCTAGCTCATTTATCTTTGTCGGAAAATGTACCATCCGCCCCCGCATCTCCACCTGCACCGGCGGCAGCGGAAACAGCACCACCAGCTGTCACTCCGATCTACCAAAGCGTGAGTGCAAAATACGAGTCCGAAAGTAGTTTCTACACGCATCGTCCTAGTGATTCTTTTTCAAGTTTTGAAGGGTCTTATTCTCATAGTGGACCGCTTGAACTTTCACAATCTCCAACTTTCGGACACACCCCTTCGTTTATCGATCCGGAAAACAGTGAAAAGTTTCAGATGGTACCGTTTGGGACGAAAAAGGCGTTAAAAGTGTTGCTTTTACACGGGAATCTTGATATATGGATTCACGATGCAAGAAACCTTCCAAACATGGACATGTTCCATAAAACAATGGGGGATGTTTTCAACCGATTACCCGGAAGCAAAGTTAAGATTACTAGTGATCCATACGTCTCAATTGGTATAACAAATGCCGTGATCGGAAGGACTTACGTGATTAGTAACAGCGAAAATCCCATTTGGAAACAACACTTTAATGTCCCTGTTGCACATCACGCTGCCGAAATTCATTTTCTTGTAAAGGATAGTGACGTTGTTGGGTCTCAACTTATCGGAGTCGTGGCAATCCCGGTTGAAAACATATACTCGGGATCTAGAATTGAAGGATTCTTTCCGTTAATCAATACAAACGGAAGACCGTGTAAGAGCGGAGCTGGTTTAAGACTCACGATGCAATACACTTCAATGGCGAATTTGAGTTTATATCATAACGGGATTGGAGCTGGTCCTCAGTACTTTGGAGTTCCGGGGACTTATTTTCCGTTAAGGAGAGGTGGGAGAGTGACATTATATCAAGATGCACATGTGCATCATGGGAGTCTCCCGGATTTTAAGCTCGAGCAAGGCATGCACTACGTTCACGGGACTTGTTGGATGGATATCTTTGATGCAATAAGTAAAGCCCGACATCTTATTTATATCACCGGATGGTCGGTCTGGCATAAAGTGAAACTAGTCCGTCAGGTGCCCGGTACACCGGAATTTACCCTCGGAGATCTTCTGAAATTGAAATCACAAGAAGGTGTCAGGGTTTTGCTTCTTGTTTGGGATGATCCTACTTCACGGAACATTTTGGGCTACAAGATAGTAAGTTGTTTCTTTGCAATTACAAGTTTTTTATATAGTTATACTCCCTCCATCATAAAATAAGTGTCCACATTTCTATATCAGTATGTCCTAAGTAAGTGTCCATTTTCAAAAGCAAGTACCTACTTTCCGGTTATACCCTTAACTATGAGATGAAGAATTCATTAAGACCTCTATGGTAAAGGGTAAAATGGTCATTTAGTTAATTAAAAGTGTAATAGTTACACATTTCTAAAGCTGTATGCCTATTGTGAAAATTTATTTTGGGACGGAGGGAGTAGTAGTCAATTCCCGGTCAATGTACCCCTTACCATTCTAGGGTACTTATTCTTAAATATTTATTTAGGCAAAGCTAAAGCTTAATAATTTTCAGGATGGACTAATGGCTACCCATGATGAAGAAACTCGGCATTTTTTTAAGAACTCTTCAGTGCAAGTGTTGCTTGTTCCTCGTATGGCTGGAAAAAGACATAGCTGGATCAAGAAGCAGGTATATGCGATATTTGTCTGTATGACTTGGGTAGCCCGATAATGTACAAATTTCGTTATTGTTTCCATATTTGTCATAGAACAACACAAAACTTCCAGATTTGGAAGCACCCAAGGTAATGAGAGTTTTCTTGCTATGAAACTAGGGAAAATTTATCCATACTCTTAGGTGTACCTAGAAAATATGGGCACCGGGCTTTTCAAGCTGAGTGCTCAAGAAATTGAGGGTACTTTTGAACCTATGATTTATGAGCTCTGATCATCTTCCATAAATATCCTGATCATAATAAGTGAACCCTCATCATTTACCATAAATATCTCAATTATTTGGTTTATATGGTTTGTATGAATTAAGAGGTTTGCAAATTAATGGTCCTCTATAAGTAATACACACACACACACACATACACAGAGAGAGGGAGGTTCAAGGGAAAACCCTCCAAAAAAATGAAAAACTAAAGAACGCCTTGGTAACCATTCATCTCGACTGTATGCACATGTGCATACACGTAATTGAAGCTGTTTTTTTGGTTTTTATGCATGCACATGTGCATACTGGGCAAATTTCTAAAAGATTACTTGTATGCACATGTATATATCATCCAGATGAATGGTTACCAGGGTACTCCTCAGTTTTTCATTTTTTTGCGGTTTTGACCCTATATATATATATATATATATATATATATATATATATATATAGTATTGTTTATTTTTAATAGGAAATGAATTAATATTAAAAAGACCAAACTACTTCTGAAATAACAAATTTTAATAGAATTAAGGGTAATGACCTAAACGTAAGAAAATATGAACCGCAGGGTCCTTTTCATATAATTGTTTCATTTAAAGCAACTATAATATAAGTAAATTAGAGGGAACAAACATGTAATTCACTCTTTATCTTATTAGATGGTGAAAGCATTAAACTTTCATGCCTAATTTTTCAACAAGAAATCTAGAAAACAACAACAATTAAACCCTTAGAAATAAAAAAAAAGTAAAACATAAACATTTCACCGTGAAACCCCTTGATTCTTTGATTCCAAGAGGCAAGAAATAGACCTAGAAACTTGAAAAAAGGGTATACGGCTTCTCCCAATACCAAACACAAACAATATACCTTTTTTTTCAAGTTTCTAGGTCTATTTCTTACCTCTTGGAATCAAATAATCAGGGTTTCATGGTGAAATGTTTGTGTTTCAAATGTTTTTATTTTATTTTGGAGGTTTAATTTGTTCCTTGTGTTTTCAAGATTTCTTGTTGAAAAAATTAGGCGTAAAAGTCACCATCTAAATAAGATAAAGAGTGAAATACATGTTTGATCTCTGTGATTTACTTAAAATTACACCTGCTCAAATGAAATAATTATGAAAAGGCATAGTGGTTTATATTTTTCTACGTTCTGGGTACTTACTCTTAATTTGTTATCTCAGAAGTAGTTTGGTCTTTTTGATATTAATTCATTTTCTATTAAAAATGAACAAATATTTATAATATATATATATATATATATATATTACATACAGAGTCCCAATAATTTGCAAACCTTGCAACTCATACAAGCCATATAAACCAAACAGTTGAGATATTTATGGTAAATGATGAGGGTTCACTTATTATGATCGGAATATTTATAAAAGATGATCAAAGTTCATTCATTTTGAAAAAAGCGTTAGAGACTTGGGGGTTATCTGGACATCTATAAAGTTCTAAGTATTATTAATTTTGCAGTTAAACTAAAATTTGGTCTTCCACAATCCGCATTGCTCCTATTTAGTGAAGATTTGTCATCATTCCAATGGAATTGGATCTAAATACCTGTTAATTGAAGTTGGAATCAATTCTGATCATAGTCTTTAGTATTTAAAAAAAAATAAAGTTAAGGGAAATTGCTAATTCATCCTATTTTCTATTTCATTTTTTTAAAATCTGTTTTAGGAAGTTGGAACTATCTACACGCACCACCAGAAAACCGTGATTGTTGATGCTGATGCTGGATATGGTAGAAAAAGAATTGTAGCTTTTGTTGGAGGACTTGACCTATGCGATGGCCGATATGATTCTCCGCAACATCCCTTATTTAGGACTCTAAGTACCGTTCATGCAGATGACTTCCATAATCCTACTTTCACGGTGAGGACTTGCCTCTTTTTCATTCTTACTCGCTTAAATTTGAACTTTTCGTTTGATTATCTCAAGTAAAAACCGAACCAAACAAACCACACGAACCCAGTAAAAACCATATGAGTGTTTTAAGTTTTTGTGATTCTATTTTGATTAATTAAGTATTTTTATTTTTGTGATCCTATTATATTTTTAAGGCCAATTTAGTTCTATTCTATTTGAATCTTTATGTTTTTTTATTTTAGTCTTGAAGTTTGTTGATTTGTAAAAGATTAATGTTTGTCTGTTCTTATTGATATGTGTTTTTTATGATTAATGATTGATTGATTGTGTTTATAAAAATAGAATGCATCCAACTAAAAAATTTGAACCGAGTTATTCTAAACGCCAAAAGATGAAGAAAGATGAACACTTTATTCAAAGTCAAAGAACAATTTTCGTTCGATTCATTATCTTACATATGTTCTTAACTTTAAAGATATACTTTTTTAATGTAGTAATAAATAATTTAATAAGCAACATTTCCCTTCTTCACTCACGTAATATTCTTGGATGGGGCTTTCGCCGATTGTCCAAGATTCCCCACTATTGCCCCCCGGGCTGTGTATTTGAAAAGAAAATTATAGGGCCACATGTAATTTTTCGTACAAGGTCTCCAAAATGTCAGGACCGACCCTCTATATACACTATATATTTAGGATTCTCCTTTTAGTTACAATATGCATTCTTAAAACCGTAAAACAAGTATTATACGTTATGAGTTGGTTTCCAGTGAGAATAGTAGTTATGGTGAGAAGGGTGAGAAGGGATCTCCACCCTTGGATCAATCCTAATTGAAGATCTATTTAAAATACCCTTCTAAGCTAATTCATGGGTTCTTTTGGGACTTAATCTGAAGCATTAGATCAACACTAATTAAAAGTGATCAAGGGTCCAAATCCCTTCTTACACTTCTCACCTTAATTTCTATTCTCACACGATCCTTTGTCTATCTGTTATTGAGGTTATGACATTATTATTATTATTATTATTTATATCATCAGGGTAATCTTGTTGGTTGTCCAAGAGAACCATGGCATGACATGCATAGTAAAATTGATGGTCCGGCGGCATATGATGTCATGACCAACTTTGAAGAACGATGGTTAAAGGCTTCAAAACCTCATGGCTTGAAAAAACTAAAGACTACATATGATGATGCTTTGCTTAGAATAGAAAGGGTGCCGGAAATTTTGGGTGTGAATGATCAACCTTGTCTTAGTGACCAAGATCCTGAAGGATGGCATGTACAGGTAAATAAATTGATATCAACTTTTAGTCGACATTTTGTCGTTAATAGTTTCTATATGATGAAATTTTGTCTTTACTTGATGCAGATTTTCCGTTCAATTGATTCAAACTCCGTCAAAGGCTTTCCAAAGGATCCGAGGGAAGCTACAACCAAGGTGCGAGATATGAACCTTTTTTTAGAAGGGTTTTTTCGAGATGGCGTAGAATATTATTCTTATATCTTCTATTTTCACTTTAAGTAGTTTAGCTTGCTATTGTGAGAAGGTAAGAAGGAAAGGTTCGTTCATATGTGAATCATTGAAAAAATGGGGAAAATATCTATTTGAAGATGCATATGTTAACGGACGGCTCACATATGCATCTTCAAATGAATTCTTCCAGTGATTCACATATGAATCTTCCCTTCTCACGATATTTAGCCTCTTTAGTTGAACCTCCCACTAGCTTGCTATTCCCAAATTCTTTAGTTAATCCTTTTTATTTTTATGTAAAACACAATGCCTACCGTCCTAAAAGCTCAACTGGCAAACAAAAGTTAGGCCTTCGGACTCCTCCTTATACGTCGCCAATTTGAGTCTCCTCAGGGTCATTGGGATTTTCCTAGCGGTTATCTTCAGGGCCTCATGAGATTAGTTGAAGTGCGCACAAGTTGGTCCAGACACCCACGGTCACCAAAAAAAGTTGTCAAAATTGTATGATTTGGTTAATACATGAAGTAAATGAAACTAATCCCGTTTGTTAATAAGAACCACATCCGAATCACCATTGCATCCGCATTTGGTTCATTAAATGGTTGACCATTTTATTTCAAAATAAGTCTTTGTTGTTTATTGATCTATAACTTGTAGCTAGACAAAAGAGATTTTTTTATTGGTATTTTATATTCTCTTTTTCATGCATGAACAGAATTTGGTTTGTGGCAAGAATGTGATGATTGATATGAGTATACATTCGGCTTACGTAAAGGCAATTCGTTCCGCCCAACATTTCATCTATATCGAGAACCAATACTTTATCGGATCATCATACAATTGGAGTTCATATAAAGACTTGGGTAAGGAACGTTTTCTTGAAGCATACTCATTGTATATAACTTCAAATTTTATTCATCACATTTTCCACATGTTTCTTAGGTGCCAACAATTTGATTCCAATGGAGATTGCACTTAAAATTGCTAGTAAAATTAAAGCACACGAAAGGTTTGCTGTATATGTCGTCATCCCTATGTGGCCAGAGGGTGTCCCTACAGGCTCTGCTACACAACGTATTCTATTTTGGCAGGTATACATACATATGAAAGCAATAATTTCCTTTTCTGGTAACGTTTAAGTCTATAATACTCCCTCAGTCCCAAAATAAGTGTCTACATTTCTATTGTAGGGGTTGTTGGGTTGGTTTTCCATTAAGTCATATATGGAGTTTATGTGCATTAATGTGTATATATAGATCAAAAAGGTTTTTGTTTAGGAGGGTTTCTTTAATAGATGGAATGAGCTTATTTTTTAATTGGGAGGGACAGGGTTGGAAGAAAAACTTGGTTTTCTACATAAAGCTCCTCCTAGAAGCTTACTGAACAAGCCACTTTCAATATCATTAAGCCACTACCAAACAATCATGTATAGCTGATCGAATAAGCTGTTAGTACCACTAAGCTCATTAAGCTGCTAACAAACATGCCCTTGGTTTGTTCCAAAATAAATGTCCACTTTCAAAAAGAAGTGCCTACTTTCCAATTCCACCCTTAATTATGAGATCGAGACACTCATTGTTCCCTATGTTATTAAGGGTAAAATTGTCATTTACTTGATTACAATTCATTACTCCCTTTATTTAGTTGATTCAGTTTATCAAAATGGATAAAGAATCCATATAATCTTGATGCTGAATATTGGTGTGTTTGCAAAGGGTACTTCTTACCAGATATGCACAAAAAATCCCAAACCCAATGCCCAGCTCGAAAAACCCCAAACCAAGGTCTAGGGCTTAAAGCCCTATCATGCCACCTTTCTTTTTCAAGGCCTGGTTAAAGCCTGGCCTGTTTAAAGCCCAACCGGGCCTATGTTCACACCAAGGCCTGGCCCAGGCCTGAAAAAGCCCAAGCTTTTGTTTGCTTACTGAAAACTGGCTTGGAAGGCCAGGGCCTTTGCATCTCTATTTTTTTTACTATTATGAAAGAAACATCACCTTTTTTAACTTTGTAGAACAAGACGATGCAAATGATGTATGAGACTATCCACAAGGCTTTAATTGAAGTTGGGCTCGAGGACGCATTTGCACCACAAGATTTCTTGAATTTCTTTTGTCTGGGAAACCGTGAATCAGCTGGTCCAGACGCTGATATAGATGGCGAGAGCGCTGGTCTGGGAAATACTCCCCAGGTGCGCTTCAGGCTTGTCCTCGTGACTTTTTGATCTTATTTATAGAGACCTGTTTGGTTAGCCATAAGCTAGTTTTTTGAAACAAACCCGAGGGGTCTTTTTCCAATTATACCTAACATTTTCCAATTAAAATTTTCAAAATGTCCTTTCAGGTCATTTTACAGTGTCATCTAGCTTATCAACTTGTTTTTACCAAACACGACTAGTTTATCAGCCAACAGCTAGCTTTTCAGTTTATCAACTTATAAACATAGCGTAAGTGATGGTAAATTTATTATTAATTCAGGGACTTGCTCATAAGAGCCGGCGATTCATGATCTACGTTCATTCAAAAGGCATGATAGTTGATGACGAATATGTAATTATTGGATCTGCAAATATTAATCAACGCTCTTTGGAGGGAACCCGAGACACAGAGATCGCAATGGGAGCATACCAGCCTCATCATACTTGGGCAAAGAAACTCTCGAGTCCCAAAGGGCAGGTAATAGTTTTTCTTTCCGCAAAAAAAATATTCAAACTGTGCACAGCCGGGGGCTTGGAAACAACCGCTAAATGAGCGGCTGCATTTTGGATATGGAAATCAAAGGGTGAAGAAGCCTGTTAATGTTGGTGTAATGATTATCAAGGGGCAAAGGGTTAATTTTGAATTGAAGCTTTGTAGATAGGAGATCTTGCATTTATTCTTGGACATGCCAAAAGGAAATCTTGCATTGATTTTGGGGTTGATGGCGTAGTACCCTTCGGATCTTGAAAATCATTCACTACGACCAAAGTGCTTCAATACGCTAACAACCGTCTGGGTTTAGGGTGTTTTTCTTATTTTCTTCAAATAATGTCGATAATGGTGGTCATTCGTTTTGGTTATTTTGTGGGTCGTGTTTACATGGCACAAGGACAAACAAAGAGACGATTGGGCCCCATTTTCTTGATGGAAAGAGAAACAAAGATGATGGATTCCAATCATCTTGAACTTCTATCATTCTTGTTAAAGTTACAATGGTTTTCTAGAACGAGGCAAGATAGAACAAAAACTTCTTGTTCTACGTTTAGTGCGGCAATAGACTGTAACAAGATGGGACTGACACCAAAATAGGTGGAACAATAACCACAAGGATTGTGCCATAGTGGTTGAGGCCCGGGGGCTGTGGTGGAATATCCCGTCTGCCTAGTTTCAATTCCAGCACAACAAGTGTGACCACTGAGTTTATCAAGGCTGATATCTTACGGTCATAATTTGCTGGAATTAGGCGGGGCATAGCCTGGGACACTCTTCCAAAAAAAAAAGGTGGAACAAAATCATGGAAATGGGACAAGGTTGGTAAATTACTAAATCACCCATGTCAGATTAGAACCCTAAAACCTTCCACAATTCTTTCACCTGTCTACATGACTCGCCCGTCCAGTCCCATAACCAACACGTCCTTAAAGATATATCTTCCAATTGTTATCATCATAAATTACCGATGTTTTTGCTCACACGCGCATAATTATATGTTCATGAGTAACAGTCGTTTTTGCTTTGTTTTGTAGGTATATGGATACCGAATGTCTCTTTGGGCCGAGCATATTGGCCTTGTTGACGACCTCTTTACGCAACCGGAAACTATAGAATGCGTAAGACGTGTGAGATCATTGTCTGAAGCTAACTGGAAACAATTTGCAGCCGATGAGGTATCGGATATGAGAGGCCATCTCTTGAAATATCCGGTTGAAGTGGATCGAAGGGGAAAGGTAAGATCGCTTCCAGGAGTTGAAAATTTCCCAGATGTAGGTGGTCAAATTATTGGATCATTTCTTGGCATTCAAGAGAATTTAACTATTTGATGAATCTTTTTTGACAGTTCTTTTTGTTTTTTGGATTTTCAAGATTAGGGTTCTTGAGATTTTTGATATAGAGTTTATATGATGTAAAACCAATTCTGTTGTTGTAGTGTTGTTGTCATGTGCAGTGTGTTTGATCTTCATATTATGTTGTAGATTGGGCCAACTTTGTTTTCTTTCAAATGTTTTTGGAAGCTGTGGGTCTTCAGTTACAGGTCCTCTATTGTTTGGAGTAGATGACAGATCTATGTGGATCCCACCTTTGAGTGGGATTTAATGGGCTTGTTTGGTGGTTTTTATGAAAACAATTGCTTTACTCTTTGCGGTAGATGACAGTTCTACGTGGACCATATCTCGAATTGTTGGGCTTCTTTGGTTTGGTATATCTTTTAAATTCTCTAGGAAGTTGGGTTTTTTTTAATAAAAACAACTGTCCTACTAATTGGGTGGATGCATGCAGTGGTGGACCTTGGGTTTTTGTCGAGCGGATGCACCTTAGAGTAGATCAAAGGCACGCAAAGTCGTCCAATTTGTTTCAGCCTAATTCCACTGTTTTAAAGTGTTTTTCTTAAAGTTTTTTTGGTTGATTTCAAGGGACATTTTCGGGGTTTTTTTATATTCATTTTGGGGAACTTTTTCCCCTTTTTTTTGCTGATGTTCCTTCAATTTTCTAATATAACCGAGTACCCTTTAAAGTTTAACGGGTGTATCTTTCATGCTGTAAAATAAGTTGAGCAGGTATTCATGACCTACTTGAGGGTTGATAGGTCCGTCCCTGGGTAGATGGTAGGCCCATCCCTTAGTGGGATTTGGTGGGCTTGTTTGATTTAATCCCCCTTTTAAATTATCTAGATTTGGCTTTTTGCAAGAAAGGGGGTTTTCAAATTCCCTTTTTGGGTGGATTTTATGTGTTATTGTGATCTTCAGAGTTATTAATTCTGCAAACCGTTACAACTGGTATTTTGTTGTAAAGAAACCATCGTTTTTGCATAATAAGAACATCATATCTTAAAAAGATCGACCTTTTGATAGATTTTTTGCTAGATATGATGGTTTTTCTATGTTTACATTTTCTATAATCGTCTAAAAATGTTAATTTTACCTCAATTTAGTGTTGTTACAACAATTGATTGTCGGTTTGCAACAAGGAAATTCTATGTAGTCTTTTCTACGAAGAGTCTATTTCCACGATTCAAATGCATCACTAGCTTTGTCGATTAATCAATTTTAGTTCAAGAAAAATCCCTAGACCAAAAATCAAATTATCGTGTGCATCTGTTAAAGTACGAATCTCTCATGTCGTAAAACGTCCACAACAGCTTTTGCCTTCTCAACCGAATATATCGCCATACATGTAATGCCAATCGGTGCATACAACGCCTATGGTATCAAAAAGATTGACGGCAAATTTTTCTATGGTTATTGTTTTGACAAGTTGTACACTGCAAATTAAAAACTAACAAATCATTGTTATTGTGAAAATGCCAAAAAAAGATCATGGTTTTTAAGAATGAACAATTTTGAATAAATGAAAGGGCATTTGATCTAGCGGTATGTGAATTTTTGGCCTCTTAAAAGGTTAGGGGTTCAAACTTCACCAAAGTATGGATGTATATCAGAGCCATCCCATTCCAATCGCTTGTTGGTTTAAAAGAAAGTTCAGAATTGAAATCTTGGGATTTTAATGAAAATCCCCCAAAGTATGGATGTATATCAGAGCCATCTCACAGAAGTTTCAGTGATATGTTTCGAAGTCTTAGGGGCTGTTTGGCAGTTGCTGAATGATTTGATGCAGAATAATTAAGTGGTCAGAAGAATTAAGAGGGTATCATGATGTAGTGCAAAATGAAATATAATTATTTGGTAATTATTTACAATGAAATTAGGGCGTTGAATGGTTAAGAAAGGTCCATGATACAAAATCATTCAGAGGGTTTTAGAAGCATTAAGAGGCAGATTTTTTTTTGCCAAACAAKATTCACCTCTTAACGATTCAGAGCTGCCTCTTAATGAAACTATTAAGAGGTAAACAAACAACTCTTTAATTGGATATTATGTCGTTGGTTCATGTAACAATTGCAGTTGTTTTGTCATGAGTAACGACATATGCCCCTAGTAGTTTACCGCGTAAATTGATAAGTTGGATCGACCCGCCAAGCTAAACTCGTTGTTTCCTTGTCACGACCAACTAAAGCTAGAGTTTCATTAGGGTGCATTTGGTACGTAGATCGGGTGGGATGGGACGAGACAAAAATAAATAGTGTCATGTTTGGCATGCCATGGAATAAAAATAAGGTTGGACAATATGAGACAAAAATGAGTTTTCATAGGACTATTCTTGAGTTTTTCTATTCCACCAAAACGGTGGAACAACATGAGACTAAATCTTGAAATTACAATATTATCCTTATTATTTGAGTAACCCAGACAGGGACAAACCCATCATTTTTTTCAAACAGTGGCATTATTTGACTATAAGAAAAAAAAAACATAGGTCACTATTTGACTATAAGAAACAAATATATGGAAAAAAAATATTCAAACGATGACACAATTTGACTAAAAAAATTACTAACAATATTCAAACTTAGGTCTAGGTGCAATAAAAGCCTTGTAAACTAACTCTATCAAATAAAACTTATTTTAATATACATAACAAATTAATATGATTGTACCTTTTACAAATCTAATTTTTTTTTACACGAAGGAATAAGCCACCATATAATTGGTAACTTTATCACTTAATACCTTAAACTTATATCTCTCGATTTCTCACGCTCTCACAATATCTCTCAGCCGCTCTCCAGAGACCTCACAGCCGCTCTCGCTCTCGCTCTCGCTCTCTGATCTTTCACGCTCTCATAGGATCCCCAAATCGCTTGATATCTCACAGCAATTGCTCTCTCACCTAATCGACTCAATCAAAAGGTATGTCAATTTAGAGTCCACACACACACACACATATATATATATATATATATATATACGATTTGATGGTTCTTCTTTACTGGAGATCTTTTATGGGTTTTGATGGTTCTTCTTTATTGGTTTGTCCAAGTTAGTGGAGATTTTTTATGGGTTTTGGCTTCTGTTTGATTTTAGTGAACCCAGCCTGGTAACCTACAAATGTAACACGATTTTGATTCTGTTGAAAGCCTTTGCTGCTAATAGGTTAAAGATCATGTATGTTTCTTTGTTGTAGTTTACAACTATTTCATACCACATGCCAGGTGTTTGATGATTTGCCTAAATGAAAGCTTGGATGTTTATGGAATTTTACGTTAAACAAAGGTTTATATATGGTATCTATAGGTGCATTGCATAACACAAGACAGATAGATACCCAGAAAAGAATAAAGAATTTTCAAACAAACCTCTTTGCCATGGTTTTGGCTTTCATTCAAACACAACTTAACAGCCAAAGGAAGTTGCAGAGGCTTGTTGTATAATTTACTTTACTCGATAGGTCTGAGACTGTTCCATAAAAGATATTTTCTTTTGAATGACTCATCTTTCTTGAATTCTATTGTTGTATCATGTAAATAGCACACATGTTTGATGATTAAAAGCTAAAAGCTCACTCATTTACTTGTGTTTGGGTGATCTTCTTCTTGATAACTCAATTAATCATGTTTCCTTTGATAGAGTTTTTATGATTTAAGTTTAGTCATGTGAATCATTAGGGGTTATGATATGATTGATTTTGGTCGTAGTTTGCATCATTCGATGGGTTTAATCATGTTGATAGTTAGGGATTTCAATGGGGCAGGTTTAGGAACATTAATCCTATGGTTAACCCCAATTCTGGGTAAAATTTTAACTAAATGGGCTTGAAGCCTGAATCATTCTTGGTGTTCTAATAATTCGATTCTTAGGTATAAGGAGTTAAGGAATGACCCTTTAAATATTCTTTCGAATATGTACCTCTCATCAATATTTTAATCATATTCAGATTTCAGACTTCAAAATGTTAAAACAAAACTGATTCAGATTTCAGACTTCAGACGTAAAAACAAACACTCTGACTGATTCAATTTTCAGAATTCAAAACCACCTCTTATAAATCAGAAGTGAAATTAGATTTCAGACTTCAGCACCTCTTGAAAACAAACGCCACCTAAACCTAATTCCATCGCATCCTCTTTCTTTATCTTTCTGCTCATCGATTCTAGCCTCCATTTGTAGAACTCGAAACTCTCCATTCCATGAGCTCGAACTCGATTCCAGCCTCCATTTCAGGTATGATTTCTCCTCATGGAGAACTACCAAATCCAATGACTTTGATTTGTTCGTACCATTCTGTCATCGCTATTGGAAGAACTCAGTCTGGCTGGACAGCTCACGTCTATTGGACCTGGTGATGATCCCATTCAGTGTAATGGTAATCTTCCATGATCGTCGATATCCATTTCAGGTACGATTTCCAGGAGCTTCTATTTTGCTTCTCTTTTTCCATGGTTATGAATTCCACAACCGATTTCAGTTTCAGATTGTTATTGATTCCACAATCCGCAATCTTTGTTTGTAGTCTGATGCATCTCAGTTTCAGATTGTTGGAGTAGAAACTCTTGTAACTAGTCTTTTTTGCACCTGCTAGTTTTTGTGATCAAAGATGTTGATTCTACTCAATTATACCTATCTTAAATCCATGGTGGTCCAATTATTGCATATTCGGATTTTGATTTCTTACCCCAATGTGAGTTCCTGGTTTTTGATGAGTATGGATAGCTTAAATATGGTGCATAAGGTGTTATTTAGATTTTACATACTTCGGTGCTTGATTAGATGGTGGGGTAGGTATGTTTGCAATGGTTTCTTCAGGCCATTATTAAGAGGATCTCTCTGCCTTCTTGTTGCGGCCTTCCAGTGCAACTTGTTAATTGAATGTCACCCACTCTTGTAACTAGTCTCTTTGTTATCGATTCCACAATCCACAATCTGCCATGGATTCTATGTTTTTGGTTCAAAACAAGAGTAATTTGTAGCCTACCCATGGATTCGCTTTGAACAAGTGTTTCGAAAAACACATGATTGAGCTTAATGGTAAGTTTGGCAAACTCCAAAATGATGCCAACTCAGATTAGTATAGAACCTATGAACACACTTAATGTTGTGGGTGTGTTTATATGTATATGCACCATACTTCTACTTTGAATTCCATTTCTATACTACAAATCTATTATAATTTCTATTTACCCTGTTTCCAATAACACTTTCGTACATTGATTGAGAAAAAAGATTCATTGTTACACTAAATAGGAACTAAATCAAACTTTGCTGCAATTGGCCCTTTTCTTTTCTAATGAATGTTTAGTTACTTTACAGTCCCAAAGTGATATCAAGTGGCATAAATGTTCTGTTCCTTAATTCTATATAACTGAATTCAGTATAAATTCAGGGAAAGAGTGTAGAATAAAACACAAGGTGGAAAAATGAACAAGAAGGAGGTATTTAAACTAGCCAAAGGTTTCAGGGGAAGAGCAAAGAATTGCATCAGGATAGCTAGAGAGAGGGTGGAGAAGGCACTTCAGTATTCTTATCGAGATCGTCGTAACAAGAAGCGTGACATGCGTTCCCTTTGGATTGAGCGAATCAATGCTGGCACTCGTGTCCATGGTGTAAGTTACCTCTCCTTCTCTATCCTTTTGTATCTAAAGGCTTGTTTGTTAGCAGTTTAATGGGACTCACAGCTTATTCAATCAGCTATACATGACTGTTTGGTAGTGGCTTAATGATATAGAAAGTGGCTTATTCAGTAAGCTTCTAGGGGGAAGCTTTAGGAACCAAGTATTTTCCAAATCTGCCCTTCCCAATTAAAAAAAACATGCTCATTCCCTCTATGAAAAAACACTCCCAAACAAAAATCTTCCTAATCTATACAGACAGATTAATCCACACACACAACTTTATCCATATTGGACTTAACGAGTAAACTTCATTTTTTTAAATTTAAATTTATAATTGAATATATTAGTTGTTGAACGACAACATTTGATTCTTTTATATAATTTGAAGGAACTTTTTGCTATTTGGTCACAGGTCAATTACGGTAACTTCATGCATGGACTGCTGAAAGAGAACATCCAACTAAACAGGAAGGTTCTGTCGGAGTTATCCATGCACGAACCGTATAGCTTCAAGGCTCTTGTTGACGTTTCACGCACAGCTTTCCCCGGAAACCGACCGGTCCCACCAACTCCAAAGAAACAAGGCCTTTCGATTTTGGTGTGATTAGCTTCACATTCTCAAAAGTACGTCTTTTGTCGTGTTTCCTTATGAAAAAAAACTTAGTTTAAGAACTATTATAGCAATAAACGACACTTTCTTTGCTATATAGCCTGGAAAAAATATGTTTAGATTTCCAATTTCATAGTTGATTCTTGATTTTAGCTGTTTTTGTCTTGATGTATTTCGGCATTGGACTTTATGGTGTAGAAATTCTGAAAGACGGGTCTTTACAGAAACAGCTTCTTTACCCCCTTGTGGGTAGAAGTAACAGTCTTACCCTTCCCGAACCCTACATCTGTATGGGATTCACTGTGTCTGTTTGGTTTGAGATATTTGAAGGCACGAGACCAGATTCGAACATAGCAATTGACCAATTTAACCCTCCGACGCGGTGAGAATATATGTTTTGTGAGGGTGTTTTTGGTACGTAGATGGCTGGTAGGGAAGGGTGATGTAGGCGGGTGAATGGATTGGGCAAGGTTTTAAGGTCTACTTTGGCATGGATATTTTGGTAATTTACTATTCTCGTCTAATCTTTTTGGTATTCATTTTATACTTATGTTGGTTGGACAAAAAATGCAGTTTTGTCTCACTGGGTCTTGTTTTGTCTCTGTCTGAATGTCGCACCAAATACGAGATAGCAAATTTTTGTGAAATGAAAGGGGTTTGGTCGTGAACGTTCTTGTTAAGTGACTGATTGATTCATCCAACGGTGGTTGAACGGTTAGATTATACTTAACTGGATTTTGTTGATTGGTCTTTTGAATAAAAAAACGAATATTAATCCCAAATTTAAAATAATAAATACTGTGCCATTTATCTTATTTGATAAACATCACAACGGTCGATAATTTTATTAGGTAAGAGACATGGTAAGAACCAACAATCTGACCTTGTTTGCAATTACAGGTAAGATTACTACTTACTCTGTTATTTTGTAGTCGGGAATCTTACTTGGTATAATAAGTGTGAATTGTGAATCCGATCAATAAACGCTTACCAAAAGATCGATCATCTTTTAAACTCTAGATCTGTAGATATAAAAGCCTCACGGCGTCATCCAACTCAGTTATGAAAACGAGGTTAAATAGCCAATCCGAATTAATCCGAGGCCTTCTACAAACCGACAATTATACTTACTCGACCTAACTAGTGAAACCCAACTACCCAATATTACCGTCCGTCCATTACTTCTATTCCTAGTGCAGTATCGATATACAGTAGTCCAAAGTTATCCTCTTGTCGTCATTTCTTGTATATTCAATTTCGTTACAACCAGTATGGAACTGATTATCTGAGTCTCAGATTATCAAATAATGAGAAATAGAATATGTTAACCCAAGCATTAAAACTAATTATTACGATTTAAAGTTACAATAATCAGTTACAAAAACACATATTTAAATACCTCCTATATTTTTTACGAGAAAAGTTAATGAAAATGCTAAACCGACTTGCGCATCGTTAAACTAAATTACATGATTTATTTGTTAGGGAAAAGTCTAAAAAGCAACCTGATGAAAACTATCCAATTTTGAATGATTAAGTAATTGAACTATTTTTTTGAATGAAAAAACCATTACACTTTCTCATTTTAAATGATTAAGTCTCTGAACTGTTTTTTAGATGAAAAAAACCATCAACTTTCATTTTTTAATGAAAAAAAACCATTAAACTTTCTCATTTTGATTGATTAAATTCCCGAATATTTTCTTAATAAATAAATTATCGTACTTTTAAAAATTAGTTACGCACATTCTTTTAATTAAAAAAAGTTACATTAACCAACTAATAAGTTCGATGATTTATTTATTTTATTTTTAAAAATTCAGGGTCTTAATCATTGAAAATGTAAAAATTTAAATTTCAAGTTTTTAAAAAACAGTTTAGGGACTTAATCATTTAAATTAAGAAAGTTTAATGATTTTTTTAATTAAAAAAAATATTTCATGGCATAAACCATGGGAAAGTTTTTTACGTATTTTTTTTGAAATTTTTTCTATATATAAACATCAATTTTCTAAACTATAGGGACTAATTTGATAATTAATAAATTGTAGAAGGTAGTTATTTGTAACAAATAAAAAAAATAAGAAAAATAAAATGTTGAGAGTGGGATTTGAACCCACGCCCTTTCGGACCAGAACCTTAATCTGGCGCCTTAGACCAACTCGGCCATCTCAACTTTGATGCTATATTTAAATTGATTATATATATATGGTCACCTAGGAATAGCAACGGGTTGGGTTCGGGCCGGTTATTGGTATCCCCATCCCTAAAACCGATAAATAAAATCATCTTCACAACCGGCCCGATCCTCGTCGGGTCCCTGCGGTTTCTCCGATCTAATTAAGGAACCATTAAGGGTAAAATCCCCCTTTTTTCCAGTTGATTTCCCCGTTCGTCATTAGTTATACCCGAACTCGGAACCCAAACCAATCTGAAATAAATTACAATATGTTAATTTTCACACTTAAAAGTAAAATTTCAATTTTTTTAAAAGTGTAAGTCTAAATGTCTCAAACACAATCAAACCAGTTACAAACATACATCTTAGATTACAATATAAAAGTAAACGGAAATTCAAATATCATGCAACTAATATCACGATCTTACGATTAGACAAATAAACCCGACTTTTTCGTAAGTTTTATTTGGATGTTGAGGTAAAGTGGATAAAAGTCTTTTAAATTTTAATGTTAGTATTTTCTCTTAACGATATGTATGTATATGCATGCATGCATGTATGTATGCATCCATGGATGCATAAATGTATGTATGCATGTATCTATATATGTATGTAAATTAAAATTAATATATATATATATATATATAAATATCGGGTCGATCACCGCCCCCATTAAAATCCCTGAATATATCCTCGTTCCCTCCCCGTCCCGAATAAAATGTCCCCGAATCCGACCCGAAAGTTTCAATTTTTGGTTTTCACCGTCGGTTTCCTTGTTTCTTTTTTATTAGAGTAAATAACATATGTTATTTTAGCATATTTATTAATAATAATAATGTTTATTAAATAAATAGGACAAATTACATGAAAAAATAATGTACTTTAATAATAATGTTTACTAAAGAAATAGTCTGACGTATTTTCAAAACTTCTATTTTGGTATCTAAGATGTAAAGTTCTAAACAATTAAGTACCTGAGTAACTGCTTGAAACATTAACCGATTATCATGCTGATGTGACGAGTGATTTGACTTACCTTTTGAATTTAAAATTCAATAATTAAGTTGGATACCACATCACTTGTCACATCAACATGGTAACCGGTTAATGTTTCAATCAGTTACGCATGTACTTAAATGTTTAACACTTTACATCTTAAATACCAAAATGAAAGTTTCGAAAGTACGTTAACCAAAATAGAAATCAAGTTAAAGTACGTTATTTTTTCATGTAATTTGCCTAAGAAATATGTATCATACAACTTTTTGTTTATCAATCATATGAAAACACATCATCAAAATAAAAAACATAAATTAAATAAACTCACATTCGATTAAATCACAATTCCTTCCATTCCAAAATAAATGTCCATAATTAAAAAAAAAATATATATATATATATATATATATATATATATATATATTTGGGATCATGTGAGACCAGCCTGTTTTCGTGAGACCCGTGAGACCAACATTTTACACTTGAAACTTCACARCAAAATGCTGTGAAGGTGACTTTTTAAAACCTTCACAGTGTTTTTGCTGTGAAGGTTCGACTTTTTTTAAACCTTCACAGTGTTTTTGCTGTGAAGGTTACGTGTAAAAATGTGGTCTCACAGGTCTCACAAAAACAAGCTGGTCTCACGTGAACCCAACCCTATATATATATATATATATATATATATATATATATATATATATATTACACTTTTAATTAAGTAAATTACAATTATACCCTCAATAACAAAAGAGTAATGAATTTCTCTATCTTATAATTATGAATAGAATTAAAAAAATAGACACATACTATTAAAAGTGGACTCACTCGTATTTTAAAACAAATAAAAATATAAACACTTATTTTGGAACGGAGTGGTTTATAACACCAATCAAAATGTCCATAAAACACACCATGTTTTCCATGAATTGTTAGTTTACAAAGGGTTTCCACCGTCGATACGATAACGATAACTTACAACGACTGCCCGTAACTTCATAATCGTAATCTAAAACCGTATTAAAACAGCGGGAAATATAAATTAAGAAAAGAATACAAGAAAAACGAATCTACCAAAAATACGGAATCAAATAAATTATACAAGATCCGAATACGTAACAACTCTTGTTCTTATTTCAAGGGTTAAGAGGTTGTTTCCCTTTTTTCGCTCGTTCTAATTCGGATTCGGCATCTTTAAGCAATTGTTGGAGCTTCGAAACTCTTAGCTCGAGCTCTTCTACCGTACCTCTAGTTAATAAGGGTTGATACGGTTTCAAGAAATGGTGCGAAAATGCTTTTAATGCCTCGACTCCACAAACCTGCCAAAATCACGTTAACGGATATGGATGAAATACAAAAAAAGATTATATTTCCAACGGTAGATTAGTCAATTTCCTTGACGACACTTATGGTCCATGAAAATTTATGGTGCGTTTGGTACATGGGACAAAATGAGACAGAACAAAACGAAAATTAGTTGTCCCACGTTCTGCATGACATTAGACTAGGACCAAAATAGGTGGAACAAAAACCAAGGAGATACAAGATTGGTAAATTACTGAATTACCCATGTCGAATTAAAACCTAACACTTTTATCAGCATACCTCATTCTCACCCGTCTAGTCCAGTCTGGTGTGCGTATCAAGCGCACCCACATCGCTCTAAATCGACATGGATTAAAAGCCTTGTTTCTAAATCTTGTTACTGTAACACATTGTTAAGATATAATATTTAGGGTGGATTTGGTACACTGGACAGATCAGAACAGATTTGATTTTACAAATATGAGCTTTTTAATCAATATTTACGTTCACCTTTTTGTATCTTTTAAATATCGTTTGTTAATTTTCATTTAGATTGATTATTAGGTAAAAAAACACTAAACAACTCATTAAAGGGTAAATTGGTCATTTTACCACCCTGTTATGTCCGTCCTGTGTTGCCAAACGCTAAATGGTTGTCCTTTCCTGTCCTGTTTAATTACCAAACGCACCCTAACAGAAATTCTTATAATTCTTGAAACTAAAGGAATTGTCGAAGGACGCCCAAAAGTCAAACTATTGACTTTTTCTTTGGAACGGAGGGAGTACTATTTACGACTGGTTAATAAGAAAGATCTGAACCCGTAACTCGTTTACCTCTTGTGGCAGCAACGGCAACTTTGTAATATAGAAATCGTCATATAACATGTAGAATTGATCAAGATATTTTTGTTGCATCTTCATCCGAGCTTTGAGCAACTTCGATTCAACACCTGGAATACAAGCCAACACGAGCTTCATTTACGCGTTTAACTCGTAATTCATTTCGTGGGTCCCATTTATACAAGTAGACATGGAAAATAAAAAACACAAACAATCCCAGTATGTCCGACCCGGAGGTGGGGTCAGGGTGGGATGTACACAAATTTGACCCCTACTAGAGTTGTTCAAGGGCGGGACGCTGGCCCACTAGAAAAGCAGGCTTGGTCCGCTTGGATTATCATTTTCAAAGAAACGGGCAGGCCCAAAATGACTTGTTAAAATGAATGGGCGATGGGAAAAAATTGGGCAGGCCCGTCCAGCCCATTAATATTTTTATAACTTCTAATTTTACGTCTAATTTTAAGTTGGAAAAATTGTCATGTATTGTGATCATAACTTGTGATTTTATATCAATTTTGGTTTCTTAAAAATATAAGAAGATTTTTAGACCCGTTAGCCCATGGGCAAACCCAGCCCGTTCGTAGGGCAGGTATGAGAAAGTCTTCAATCCCATAAAAAAAGGCTTGGGTTTGCCATATTAGGCCCGTTGAACAAAAAAAATAGGTTACGTCTGGCCCGAAGCCGCAAATGATCTCCCCCCGAAAATCAAGATTTCACCACTAGAACAATGACAAAGTGTACCTTCTTCGTCAAAAAGCACTTGGTTGATGATGATATTATGTGTATCAATCTCGAATTTAGTGAGTTCTTGCACTAGTCTCTCCGTCTCGTATAATGAGAGGAATTCCGGAATGCAAACGCATACAAAAGTCGTCAAATCCTGCATTAGAGAGAGTATAAATATAGATATATGCACAAAAAAGCCCGAGCCCAAACCCAGGCCTTATAGCCCGATCAGGCCAACTTTCTTTTTCATGGCCCGAAAACCCCGATGAGCCTATTAAGCCTGGCCGGCCTGGGCTTTTTAGCTTACTAAAAACGGGCTTGGAAGGCCCAGGCCCATGAGATTTGCAACATTCATTCCGGGGTGTTCTTGCAACATGTCGTTTCTTGGAAAAGTTTCATGTTAAACTTACTGAAGGGAATCTTGCAACTTTTCCTTTTCGCAAATTTCATGTTGAATTTACTTGTTTGCCCATCTCCATGGTTGCAAGATTCTCCCATTTTCTTTACTATGAAGGGTATTTTAGGCATTTGACGAAAATAGATGCATACCGGATCTTTGAACTGCCTGTTCACTTGTTCGATAACTTCTTTCATACCCTCGAGCCTTCCCAGTATTGCATCCTCTCCAAACTCTTCTCCAACGCCAAACATACGGGTCATCTGCCATTAAATTTCATCAATCCGTTAAAATATATACAAAAAATATAAGATTTCTTTTATCTTGTGGTTCATTTTAATGATGTGAAGAGAAATAAAGATATAATGTGGGTCCCGTTTGGTTAAATCATAAGCTAGCTTATTTTTGAGCTTATTGAAAAAGCCCCGTTTGATAATCCATAAGCTAGCTTGCTGAAAGCTACTTTAGATAGCTTTTCAATAAGCTTCAGGAGCTTTTTTCATCTTTTTTTTTCAATTATGCCCCTTATATTTTAGAATTGAGTAATTTTTCAACATGTCCTTTTAGGTCATTGTACATTGTCATCTAGATTATCATATACCCCCCGTCCCAAATTAAGTATCTACATTTTCCATTTTACTTTGTCCCATAATATGTGTCCACTTTCAATAGTAAGTTTCCACTTCCCATTCTACCCTTAATTATGATATACAGAGAGTCAAGGGTAAAAGTGTCATTTAGTATTTAAAAAGTGTAATAACTACACATTCCTAAAACAGTGTCATTTTCATTGTAGACATTTATTTGGGTATATGGAGGGAGTAGTTTTTACCACACATGACTAGTCTATCAGCCAACAACTAGCGTATCAGCCAGTTTGCCAAACATAGCCAAAGTGACATAAGTGTAAATAAGTACGAATGCAACTAATTACTTGACCTACGCAAAGAGCGGAACTTCTATAGAAGTCGAATGATTTACTTTATCTTGTAATTTATTAGAGTTAGAAGAGAAATACCTGACCCAATAAGCCACCAAATTTACTCTTTAAGCTCATCATTTTGGCAAGACCTTTCTCTAACGTTGACGGGAACTGTAACAAGCGCAGTGTATGGCCGGTGGGAGCGGTATCAAACACTATCACCGAGTAATCCATGGTTTGCACCAACCTAAATCCAAATATTTTTAAAAATAAATAAATAAAATTTATCTCGAAACAAATATTAGAGCAAGGCTAGCATTTTTTGGATCTCAAAGAAGATTAGAATAACTGTCCCATGATGATTGGAAGATTCCTTGATTTGGTCATCATTGAAGGGTATTTTGGACATTTTACTAATACACGGATGTTAGATTGTATATAAAGTCGATTGTTTCAATTTCATGAGATGAAGTAAATAAGACATGACTAAGGGCATTGTATGTTAGAAGTTTAATGAGCTTAATGAGATTTACAGCTTATTCGGTCAACTATATATGATTGTTTGGTAGTGGCTTTATGATATAGAAAGTGGCTTGTTCAATAAGCTTGTAAGGGCAAGTTTTATGCAGAAAACCAAGTTTTTTCCAAAGCTGTCATTCCCAATTAAAAAACACGCTCCTTCCATCTATGAAAAAACCCTCCCAAACAAAAACCTCCCCAATCTATAATAGATTAATCCACACAGACAACTTTATCCATATAGAACTTAATAGAAAACCGACCAAACAACCCCTAAATGAATAACAATGTACTATCTGTCACACCAAAACCGGTGGAACAAAATCAGGGGAGATGGGATTAGATTGACAAATTACTAAACTACCCATGTGAAATTAAAACCCTAAAACCTCTCGGAATTTTTTCACCTACCTACCTCACTCTCGCCCGTCTAGTCCTATCTCGTCCGGTCATTTCGCCGTCCGCGTACCAAACGCACCCTTATTAGTTTTCTTATTTGCATATGACTTCCGATCGGTCTCCTAGAATAAGCATTTCATATCTTGCGTATATTATATTTGTGGGCCCATATGTTATCACACTGTCCTTAAGCTTAACACGTTCTTTGAGCCCATAAGCTATTATCAAATGGAATAAACCGCTTAAAGTAAAGCATATAAGCATTATAACCCCAAAAAAGACCAAGTTTTCGTGTCGTATTTGTGCTAAAAGGTTATAGCACATGCTATTTCACAACTAGCAAGGATCAATACAAGACACAATGCAATTATCAACAATTCCTTGGAGTTAAGTTGGTGATTATCATCTTTTTTTGAACTAAAAAACGAAAAACGACACTCACTTTAGCATCTCGGCAAAGCTCATAGCCTCATCAATTCCGGGAATTGAGTTCGCTAAATCTGATAGGAAACCGTCCATTCCTTCTGAACTGCCGGTTTCTTCGGCCTCCACAGTCGGATCCACCTCCTGCAAAGCAGAACCTTAAGTGTAACGCCACATGATCGAAAGAATAAAATGAAACTAGAAACACACGTTAAATTACCAAAAATATCATCAGCAACAGAAAAAATTCTTGTTTTCTATGGTTTTGGGTGGAAAAAGACGCACGAAAAGAGTACACGATTAGCATACTCCCATCCACAACATAAAAACAATTTCCCTTATGGGATATCGCAAAATAAACGCAACATGGTCCTTTTTTTGGTCAGAGTTTTGATCCAAAGTTTCTTACTTGCCCACAAGTAACCATTACAAAATATTAGTAGCGATAACTTTGTAAAACCCTAATGGGTAGCTCAACTGGTAAGACCTTCGATTTGCTATCCAGTAGTCACCGGTTCGGGTCTTCTCAGTGTCGCTAGAGGTTTGCCTGGCTATTAACCTCAGGGCCCCATGAGATTAGTCGAGGTGCGCTCAAACTGACCCAAACACCCACGGTTGTCCCAAATAAAATAACTTTGTTCCACAAGTGTTTTCTACTTTTGTCATTATTGAGGTATTCTTGATATACGATCGATAGTTGAAACGCCTACATTTAGCCATTCATTGAGTCAAATTTTTGCATTTATTTTGGGACAAAAGGGGTTCAAGAAACCCAAAAACCAATCCATGAAACCCTAAAACCAACCAAAGTGACATATATGATATACCCCAAATACTGAAATCGATCAAGAAACATGAAACCAACTATCAAAGACTCGTTACAGCAAACAACAAGGTGAACCCATTAACCGAAGACGTAATCTTTGGAGAATAAACATAGTAAAAAAGCCGAAGTTATTATGGATTATTGTAACTTTAAGCCCTAAATCCACCCAACTTCACATAAACCCTAAATGCTACAATCAATCATGGAAAATGAAATCAACCACCAAAGACTCATCATAGCATACAAATTCAACAATTTATAGTTGTAAACGAGCTCGAATAGTTTACCCTTTTCTTGGAAATTGACCACCCCTATTCACATCAATCCAAATTGGTGAATAAACAATCAAACAATCCATATTCAGTTCAATTACTATAAGAAAAGCTTGAATATTTTACCCTTTTGGGAAGAAATTGATCTATTTCAATCTATACAGATAAAACCAACCCAATTAGCATCACACAGTTGAAAAAAACCCTAAATCAACATCATTCACATAAACCTAGATTAAGAAACATGAACTCAACTACAAGATGGTGAACCCATCAACCAAAAAAGCAGGAAAATTGGGTGGATAATCGTTTACCCTTTTCGGAACTCAACCAACCCAGTTGAAATTATTCAAAGAATTCAAGAACCCACGATTGAAAAAACGAAATTGACCATCAGAAGACTAACCATGGCATACAAATTGGTGAACCCATTGACCAAAGTAGGAGCTTTTGTGAATCGTTGTTGGAAAGCGTCGCTAAGATTATGAGCAGGATCAGTTGAGATTATGAGAACAGAAGATCTGACAGAAGCCAGAAGAATTGAGATGATCGAGCTACACGTCGTTTTTCCAACACCACCTTTACCCCCAACAAATACCCACTTCAAACTCTCTTGTTCGAGAACATTCTGAATCGTCGCTTCTGGAATTTCTTCTTGTCCAGCCATGTCTCCCCTCTTGTTTTCTCTGTGTGTTCTTGAGGTTGAGTTGTTTTACAGAAACCCTTGAAACCGTAGGGGGAGTGGAGAGAATGCGGTGGTGATTTTGGTGATTGGGTTTTTGATGATTTTGATGTGATGAGTTTATTTTGGGGATAGATCTGCTTTTGATGGATTTCTTCTATTTTAGTATTTTACTTTCCTAAAATACTTGATTTAAAGTTTAGAGCATGACAATGGAGGTTGAGGTTCTACTACGCATTTTATCTCGTAATAGATTTTTATTAGATCGTTTATTTCCTAATAGTTTTATTAAAAGACAGTTTTTAAATTATTAATAAGTAAATCTTGTTTGACAATAAAAAAATCTGCTTCTCAATGATTATAAAACTTTCTAAATGATTTTGTATCATGAGCTTCCTTAACCATTCATCACTTTAATTTCATTGTAAACAATTATCGAACAATTATATTTTATTTTGCACTATATAATGAGAGTCTCTTAGGGGGTGTTTGGAATTGCTTATTTAAAACAACTTATACTCTTCTACAAAAGTGCTTATCAATTTATTATAAGTTAGAATGATTTAACTTCTTCAAAAACTCTTTATAACTGGTTTGCCACCGGTATAAGTTATTTATCCAAACATTCAAAAGTACTTATTATCAGTGTCACACCGAAGTAAGTCAAATAAGTTTTATTATAAGCAATCCCAAACACTCTCTTAATCATTTTGACCACCTGACAATTCAACATCAAACTATTCAGCAACTGTCAAACAATCTTTAAGACGTTTACTAAAAATATAGATTCATATATATATTTCTTTTTTAATTATTTTGTATTTGTTATTTTTTAATCATTTTATTTTATCTTAGTTTATATATATACTATATTATAAAACATTTGATAAAAACTCTTAAAGATTATTTTTTATACATTAAATATTGTTTATTGATACATATTACTTAAAATTCAAGATTACAAGTAAATTATACATAAGTATAACTTATTAAACTTCATATTTGAATTCATGTAACTAACTGCAGATAAACATAATCAAATACAAGATAAACAATCATTTTAAATATAGAAAATCTAAAATGTAATTAAGATAATAATTAAGTTCTAACAAAATGTTTAATTATTATTTTTATAAAAATTATATTGTTAAACCAAAAATAAATTACTTTGTTATTAAATCTAATTTAAATTATAATAAAAAATTGAATTAAAAAAGTTACACCAAAAAAACGAGAACTATTAAATAGTTATTTTGACACTAATATCGATTTATTTTTTCAAATTTTTATGTTATCTTCAAATTTATATTTCATTCAAAAATAAAAACATTATTGTTTTTTCAAAACCATATACAATCATATTTATATCGATGTTTAGGGTTTAGGGTTTAGGGAGACGAAGAATAAAAACTAAAAATTAAAGTCGAAATTATTTCGCTACATTGCGCGAGCACACTTCTAGTTATATTATAAAGTATTTGACAAAAACTCTTAAAATTTATTTTTTATGCATGAAATACTCTTTATTGATGCATGTTATTTAAAATTCAAGATTACAAGTAATTTTGTGTAGGTATAACTTATTGAAGCTACATCTTTAAATTCGTGTAACTAATTGCAGATAAACATAATCAAATACATGATAAACATTCATTTTAAATAAAGAAAATCTAAAATAAAAATTAGTTATTATCTTTATTAAAAAATTATATGATTAAACCAGAAATAAATTACTTTGTTATTAAATCTAAATTAACTTATAATAAAAAATTGAATCGCGCAATGCAGCGAGATACATCTTGATTTTTTTTATACATTAAATATTGTTTATTGATACATATTACTTAAAATTCAAGATTACAAGTAATTTTATATAGGTACAACTTATTAAAGCTATATTTTTAAGTTCGTGTAACTAACTGTAAATAAACATAATCAAATACAGAATAAACATTCATTTTAAATATAAAAATATAAAATATAATTAAAATAATCATTGAGTTTTAACAGAATGTTTAGTTATGATCTTTATAAAAAAATTATATTATTAAACCAAAAATAAATTACTCTGTTATTAAATATAAATTAACTTATAATAAAAATTGAGTTAAAAAATTACATAAGAAAACGAGAACTATTAAATAGTTAATTTGACATTAATATCGATTTATTTTTTTAAAATTTTTTATACTATATTCAAATTTATATTTCATTTAAAAATAAAAATATTATCGTTTCTCAAAACCACATAAAATCATATTATATCGATAGAGACAAAATAAAAACCAAACATTAAAATAGAGATTTATTTCGCTGCATTGCACGAGTACCCTTCTAATAAATATATAAACACATATAAGTCAAAATTGATAAAAGAACACGAAATTATTATTATAAAATATTGTTTTTATTTTATTTTATTTTATTTTATTTTTCATTTTTCTTTTAATTTTATACAAGTTTTGCAGCAATACGTTTAATTTTTAATTATCTAATTATATTTAGATTAATTTTTAAATAATTGAGACACCCTTATTTTCTTGGTAAATGGGTTGGTTAGATTGATATCTTGGTATATTAAAATATATTTTTTTACTTTAAATATGTTATTTCTCTACCCATAATTTCTTTTTCATTATCAACCATTTGATACAACTTATCTATACTTCTTACGTATATCACATTCAGTTAATTTTCTCAATGTACGTATATATGTTTACAGTTACTGAACATATATATGAATGAGTTATATAGAGATGTAAATAGATTGTTAAGATATGTATATGAATAGCGTACGTGATAATGTAATTGTCTAGTGTATATATTAATAGAAATTCAACAATCATATTAAATCCAAGAAATAAATGGATATCGGGTTCATATGATTGGGTTGAGTTCAAAGAATAGTAACCCCATACCCATGGTTTGAAAATTTTACAACTCGATTAGACATCGGGTTGCTTCGAGTTGAGTTATTTCGTGTTGGGTTGGGTTGGGTTAATCGGGTTGGTCGAGTTTTTTAGCACCCCTAACTGTGGATGCTGTAAAACATATCCTAACATTAGAGCATCTCCAACAGATTCTTTATAAATATCGAATTTTCCGTAAGAAAATTTATATTAATTTTCAACAGCTTTTCTAACTATTTTGGATATTACAATATCAATGACACTATTAAAATATTCAATATCTTTCATAAAATGTTATTTATCTCTCCTACACATTTAATTTCAAGAATTATCATTGTTATGAATAATAAAAAATAATTTCTATTAATAATTTTTGCAGAAGGTTTTAGTGAATTTTTTGCAGCAAAAGTCACTAAAATCTCCATTTTCAAGAATCTGTTGGAGTTACTCTCATGTGTTTACAAGAGTATCTCCAACAGATTCTTTAAAACCTTTTTCAAAACAGAAAACATGAAAGAGAGATGATGAAATTCTTCAAATTTGAAGACTTCTGTAGATATGATTGCTTGAATATTTAGGAGAAATGAATAATATTTTATGAATTATATTATATATTTTAATAATATAATTAATATTGTAATCTATAAAACAAAAAAGCTGTTAAAGGTGAAACAAAATTTTCTATTGAAAATTTTGACTTATGATTCTCTATTTTGGAACGGAGATGCTTTAACTTTGGGATATAGTTTAGAATGTAGATATATATTTCCAGTTGTTTTTAATATATTATTGGAATTACATTTATGTAATGTAATGCAATGTAATATATATATATTTATTATATATATTAGAATTGTACTTGCGTAATGCAGCGAGATACATCTTGATTTTATTGTTTTTTTTTAATTTTTTGTCTATTGATATAATACAGTTTTATATAGTTTTGAGAAAATGATAGTTTTTGTTTTTGAATAAAATGTAAATTTGAAGATATTGTAATTATAATTTTAGAAAAAAATCGATATTAATATCAAATTAACTATTTAAAAATTCTCCTTTTTTTTTAATTTCTTTAATTCAATTTTTTATTATAATTTAATTTAGGACTAATAATGAATCAATTTATTTTTTGTTTAATAATATAATTTTTTATAAAGATAATAATTAAGTATTCTATTAAAACTTAACAATTATCCTAATTATATTTTAGATTTTATAGATTTTTTATATTTAAAATGTAATGTTTATCATGTATATGATTATGTTTATGTACAGTTGCTTACACGAATTCAAAAATGGAGGTTTAATAAGTTGTACTTATGCACAATTTACTTGTAATCCTGAATCTTAAGTAATATGCATCAATAAATAGTGCTTCATGAATAAAAAATGGTTTTTAAAAGTTTTTGTCAAATGCTTTATAATATAGTGTGTGTGTGTGTATATATATATATATATATATATATAATTTTATAGATTTATATGGCTGAGAGGTGTTTTGGTTCGTTATTAGTTTTATGAAGTATTTTGCCAAATGAGTAGGGGCTTATTTCTTTTCTTATAATTTGGGCATTTATGTTAGTTGGTTATGAGTTGACTTTATAAAGTTCAAACATATTAACAAGCTTTATGTATGTAATAATAACCTGTAAATGATTTATAGAGGAATGATCGTGTGAGAATAAAAGTTAAGATAAGAAGCGATCATAATCCTTGATCACTTTTAATCTCATCCCACCTCATGAATTGCATTTCTCATGAGAACTGATCTGGTGCATCTCATTAGAATTGATCTTCAATTATGATTGATCAAACGGTAGAGATCCCCTCTTACCATTCTCATCAGAACCCAATCCGTGATTTATAATATACTAAAATGTATGAATATACCATGAGAAATTAAAATATGGGTTAAAATTTTGAAAAAATATATACCAATATGAGTATTAAATTAAAGAAAAGAGTAAACTATAAATTTGGTCCATCTGGTTTGTCGAAAATAACACTTTTGTTCCTATAATTTTGAAATTATAAGATGGTCATCATAGTTTGTAAAAGTATCAGGATTTGCTCCCTACCTCTAACGGTCGTTAAGAAACTCCGTTAAATGGGAGACATTTTCGTTATTTTTAACGATTTTTTTTTGTCTTTTATCTAATTAGAATTGATTTTATGATTTTGATCCTTATTGTTTTTGATTGGGTAACACACAGAAATCAATAAAAAGACGAAACTTTCTTCATTATAATGGAATTTTTTAACAATTATTAGGAGGGATCAGATTTGAACGTTTTTATAAACTATAATAACCATCTTGTAATTTTAACTCTATAAAAACAAACTTATTATTTTAGACAAACCACATAGGGAAAAAATAAAATAATTTTTAGATAATTGGGTTTTAAATCACTTATGGGTCTTAAATTAAACAACATGGGGGTTGAAATATATATATATATATATATATATATATATA